GCCAGTGTCGGTTCGATATCTCGGTTACCGCTGATGCTATCGAAAAATTGTATATGACAAAAAAGTTTGCAAATTTAAATCGTAGCAATGTTGGTTCTGTGCAATTTTATCGTCAAAGTTACGATCAACGAGATATCGTACGTTATATGTATGCTTAATGCCCTGCGTCATTCTTTCAGCTCAAATTTTACACAATTTCGTGTATTAATATCACATATTCGTTTAAAATGGCCTACTTGTTACAAAAGGAATTATTTTACGGTTTAATATCGACTTTGGTATTCGGTATCGGTATTCGCAATTCCATTAGGGTATCCCTGAATACTTAAACGGATCCAATAATTCTCTTTCAATGCAAAAGTTTTTTAATCATACTGCGTTTCATGAGTATTAATTCCATTAGGGTATCCCTGTATACTTAAACGAGTTCAACGTTCCTCGCGTTACCTCTGTCCCCCGATATTTTATTCGTAGACCAGTTACCATTATCCACGGAGGTGGGTCGTTTTTTAAAGTAGACGATCCTCGCCAGATCATTCACATTTTCCTCCCGTATCCCACGGCATCTTCCACGGTTCGCGTATCTGCATCTCGACTGCAAAGCTAACCTATCGATTTCCCGTAACGTTATCCTCCACGCGCGCGAACCGAACACGAACGGAAAAATGAAAGCCCGTGGCGCTAAAATCGTTAAATGAAAACGAAACCACGATGAATTGCACTCGGAATCGAAAAAGATGAATTGGTCGTCTCGACTTCTAAATGCGTAAGAAACTACGATGAATCGCACTCGGAATTGAGAAAGCTGAATTGGTTTTCTCGATTTCTAAATGCGTAAGAACCTACGATGAATTGCACTCGGAATCGAACAAGCTGAATTGGTCTTCTCAATTTCTAAATGCAAACGTATACAACGGAACATCTAAACACTGGACTTCGAAATTTATAAACTAACACACTCAGAGCCTTACACAGTTTGGACTTGTAAACTCCTGAATTTCTGAGTACCCCATATCAAATTGTTCAACCAGCGTAACGTTCAACCATCGAAATGGATCCGCAAATAACTAACCATCTAAATACCGAAACCCTACCAGAATCCCAAATAATCGCAATCCCATTATCCCAACAAATCGGTTCCCCCAATAGCCCGTGTCGCACGTCCCGTCGGGTTGTAATAATTTCCTAACGAGGTGAGAACAACCGAAGTCACGAAGTCACCGTCGCGTCGTTCTTTTCGCTTGATTTTCCCCAAGCGGGTTGCAGCAACCGTTTCCCAAGGAGACGTTTCTTCGTTTTATCTAATGGCGGTAAAAGCCTTCCAGCCACCGTTGCTCCCGTGGTTTTTAATCCCGGTAGAATTTTTCGAGGCGAGTTCCCTCGAGATCGGCGAGATTAAAGAAGAGCGTTGTTGCGCTTCTATTCGGCCAGAGGCGGTTAAAAGGTTTTTGAATGGAGTGTTAAAGAAAAATCGATTAAACGTTCCCCCGTTGGTTTTTCTAATCCCACCCTCTGTACCGGTGCGAAATGATTATGCCGTCGTTAAATATCGATCTTCCCAAAGCTCTCGAGCGTCTTCTTGCCATTCTCGGAAATTCCGTCGCCGAATATTCAAAAAACGGAGATGGAATCGCGAGAGCCTCCGGGACAAAGGACGCTAAAGTATTTGCCTATCCCCTATTTGAACACCAATTTCTGCTAAAACTTCTAATGCACAGGGGGTCGGTAAATAAGACGATTGGTAAATAAGTATCCTCTAAAAGGGATGAAGATAAACGAAAAGGGAGGAAAAACGAGGTTTCTTGACGAGTTCGAGAATATTCCCATGCATCGTCGCGATTGAACTTTGCGAAGATCGGGAAAGGCGTTCCTCGCGTGATTTTCTAAAGTGATCGTCAGAGGTGTTAAACTTAGCTCGATAGAGCTAAGTCAGAAGAGGCAGTTGGCTGTGTGTGTTACCACTGCGTGACTCGTATCGTGAATCAGTCTCCTAAGTGGCCACTACATGATTCATATACCCAATACTCACACTGTGTGTCAGTCATATAAGTGGCCATTGCATGGCTTCTACTGTGAGTCAGCCATATAAGTGGCCATATAAGTCACTGCATGACTCGTATACCGAGTCAATCTTTTATACACGTAACCACTGCATTCCTCACGCTGTGAATCAGTCATCTATATAACACGATGAGCCAAATAGTGGCCCGATTTTCTATACTACTAACCACTGAATGACCCACAGCGACAGGTTCTCACCCCCAACAAGACATCCCTGTAAAATACGCGATCATTTTAAATCAACCACACGAATTTCTCGCCTAACTCCCGGAGCAAATGCCGGGCGCCAGGGTCCTGGATATTTCCCGGAACGATTCGAGAATTTCATCGTGGGTGGAACACGCCACGCGCCCGCGCTAGTAAATGTCAATTCCAGGGCGGAATGTGCGTGCGTAGACACGAGGAAAGCTCGTTGAGCATAAAAGGAGGCCAGAGTGGCAAATGGAGGGGGCGAAATGTACTTTCCGAGCTACCTGTTGAGCTACCCTATGTATTCTAGGCAAGGCCTCTTTTGTATGGTCATCAAGGCGGTGGAAATAGCTCTTCGTGCTCGCGTTTTGAAGTCGCTGGCGCCGCGAGGGAAGCGACTGGACCGACCACTCGAATTACTACCATTTCACGGTACAATTGCCGCACGTGTCTCGAAAACGTTTCGCGTTTTTCTCGTCGGGCTGTTGCTTCCACCTGGAAAGCTGCTTTGAAGCTTATTTCGTCGTGGACTAGCATTTAGGAGCTCGTCTTTAAAATTCTAAGCTGTGTCTACGCGTGATCTACGCCTGCGAGAACGTGCGTAATAAAAAAGATTTATGTTACGAGTCCTTGTCCCATTACTTTCTGATTCCAGAAGCCGAAGCCTATAACATCTCAGGCCCAAAGACCATCGAACAGTTTCAACCTCTTATCAGCGATACCCACAACCAGGAGTATAACAATTGCCACGGACTATCCCTGTCATCCCTGTACAATTCATCGGGGTGCCCGGTTGGGTTTTCCGGGGATTTAACCTCTACGCTTCTGGCATACAAATCTCATAAAAATCCCGTAATCCCTTCCCCGAACAAAAAGCCCATCCTCTCGCCGGAGTTTCATATTTCATCATCGAGGAGAATCAAAGGTAGCCGGCAAACCGTGCCGACGTTCCCCTCGATCCTCCCTGAATCCTCTTTCAACCGAGACCACCGCGGATCCCAGCTATTTCGAGCACAAGGGATTATCAGTTATCAGCCGAGCTCTGACGGTCGATTGAATATTCATTCGCGTTACCGATGGCCGAATGACAGATTTCTACGGACGTGTCTAGGCATCCGTGAAACGTTAAGGACGGAGAACCGAGAAAGACAGAAACGCCGGAAACCTCTGCGCGGAGTTTTTGTCGATCCCATCCCGGATCGAGCGGTTCTGCTCGACTCGCTCCTGCAACGAATTCCCACGTCTGCGCCTGACATCCCTGAACTACTTGTCCGATCCTCGGTAATATCTGGAGTGCCCGAGGTACTCGCATCTGCGACCACCGGCGTTCCCTCGATTTATTAACGCTACAACAACCAAGCAAACCAAGTATTAATTACAACAAGTTCTCCATAACGGATAAGTAAATTTATAATAAGCGTTTCGCCATGATCGAATCGCGCACCTCGTCCGTGGAATTTAATTCGTCCCCGATAGTTGGGTTAATTAAGCCGGTCGTGCCGCAGGTGGAAGAATTCCTGAGCCATCGAACGCATCGGGAAATAACGAGGCGTTCCGCGATTGTACGCGCCATTAAAATCGAGAGCCTTTAATCTCCCGCTGGAAGAAGCTCCTGTTGATCGATAATTTATGGCTGGTACTCCAGGTGATTTTAATGGCCGCCGACGCAAGGGTGGAACGAGCTACGTCGAGCAGGCCCTTCTCGGGCTTTTAATTGTACTGGTAATCCACTCGAATCGATTCAACGACCAGCGTTTATGAGTCAAAGAAACATTTCAGGTGAATACGATTCGATCCATGCTGTTTTCCCGTACGAAGAACGTAATTTTGGCGAGTTGAATGGGATTGCTGTTTGCAGCGAGATTTAGTCATCATAGAGTACTCCCATATAAGTACTGCCATTTTTCATCCAAAAATATCATAGTCGTATCAAAATACAGTCGAGCACCCGTTATAAGACTGGTCTAAGAGATGTAGGAGAAATTTTTCTCAGAATTTCAACTACCACGCAAATAGTTTTGTCGCCCGATTACCTCTCATAAGCCTGTTCATTTTTCTTTCAAACGTTATATTTATGTCTAGTATTGATTTAATTATTTCCCGCAAAGTATACACTGTAATATTCCCGTATTATTTTGTGTTCTTTTTTTTGATTGTTAATTAATGACAACAGTAATAATAAATTTTATCTTCATGTATACTCTGTATATCACCATACATACTGGCATGTATACTCGCCAGTCGTCCAGTTCCTGAATGATTAGAAGTAAACGATGTCAGAGGTGGGCAAAATTTCTATTTGAACACAAATTTCTAATTATAAATAAAAAATAATTCAATTTTATATTGTGTAAGAGAAACTGAGATCTAAATGATAGAATGAAATAATTCGTGTCATACTCTTATAGATTACTTGCAATTTGCTTGCAACGTCTTTTCGATAAGTTACATTTTATTTAGCAAATCCTAACTGCGTTCCTATATATATTTAGTTTATAATTTTGACAATTTTAGAGCAGGCTTATACGAGATAGTCTGGCACAAAACGTGCAACTGCTGATTGAGTGGAAGAGGCTTATTAGGGCCAGGCTTATCGCTAATTATTTCGTCAACGTGAGAAAGTATTTTCTCAACCGTAAAAACGTAGCAAATAAGTATTGTGAACCGTGAACGAATCGATTTTACTATTTACCTCTAAAGAGACAAGTGATGTCCCAACCTACAGACTAGATACCTTCTCGCCCGTAAAAGTTTAATGTACTGATAATAGAAATACAATCAATTGGACCCTGAAGTAGCCTCGCAGCCATGGAAATCCTCATTGACGTCGCGTTTCCTAGGGCTGGAGGGCAGAGAGTGTTTATAAAGAGAATGACACGCCGCGACCTTGTCCTGGCTATCCTCGCAGGATCTCGTGTTCTCGTATTTCTCCCCGCCGGCGTCGCCCGAGTTCCCGAGATCGCGCGATCGATCTTTCCCATCGCGTGTCAGCAGCATGTCCGTCAGAACATCCAGCAGCTCCACTTCGTTCTTATTGGCCAACTCTTTGATCGCCCGAAAAGCATTTAGCATACCCTCCCTCGCGTTCTTATCGCTGGAGCCAACGTTCTCCCCGGCCCCCTCGCAGCCCTTATCGGACCTCCAGGACGTCGTTTTCGGTTCGACCTCGTTGTCCGACTCTCCTTTCGCCACACTATCCTCCTCGCTGTCTATCACGTAGGTGGCACCAGTGTTCACGGTGTTCATCGACGTTTTGCTGTCTATTGACCGAATCAACGACTCTTCTTCGAGATTCTGCTTGGTATCGCGAACTATACCTCTCACGGAATCGACATCGGGCTCTTCAGCGAGTTCATCGTCAGCGGATGACGACGAGGATGACGAGGAGGAGAACGAAGCGACTTTGCTTCGATTTCGCGATATTCTCGGATTCCGAGTAGACCTTGATAGACCTCCGGAGCTTCCTTTGAAATCCAGCTTGACCTCGTCGAGGCTTGTCGAACCCTTCGAGTGCATCGTTATCTCCTCGTCCGCGGCGACCGACGTTCCACTACTGGAACCTCCGCCACGGAGCGCCGTAATCACCCTCCTCTGGGAGAACATAGTGGTTATTACGGTTTCCGTTCGGCTGATGAACTGGTCGGACGGTTTCGCGTCCCGGTCCTCCTCCCTCTCCGTGGCCGGCGTGACCTTCGATTTCTCGATTCCGCGACGCTCGTTCTCGATCCTCCTGAGGACGACCGATACTTGGTCCATGAGATCTCGGATGTAGGACAGCATGGGATTGTCGCCCTCCTCCTCGGTGATCTTCGCGGCGATCTGAAGCTCGTCCAACGCCTCCGCGAGCCTCCCCAGCTTCGCCAGGGTCTGACCTTAAACGGAATTTAAGGTCACGTGGATAGTAGAGGTTGAGGAAGAGTCTCGCTTTTGTATCTAGAACTTTTTGAAATTTATGATACGATCCAAGGTCTCCCATAGACTAAGTTTACCCTGACGATCGAATGCATTAAGTAACAACGTGTCATCAATAATTATTATGAGCAATTATAATGAACTTCTTTCGTTGATAAAACTGTTATGAGTGATCAAAATGAACTTCTCTCATTGATAACTGTTATAGGTGATCAAAATGAATTTCTCTCATTGATAATTGTTATGAGCGATCGAAATAAGTTTCTCTCATCGATAACTGTTGTGAGCAATTGAAATGAACTTCTTTCGTTGATAACTGTTATGAGTGATCAAAATTAACTTCTCTCATTGATAATTGTTACGAGCAATTAAAATTAATTTTTGTCGTCGATAACTGTTACGAGCAATTAAAATGAACTTCTTTAGATAGATAACTGCTTTGAGCAATCGAAAAAGTATTGGACACTAATAACTGTTACTTGTAATCAAAAAGTTTAAAAATCGATATTTTGTAATCATTGTACTCTTCGATTGTTTTTCCTTATACTTTGTGTTGATTATCTTGAATTCCAATTATAATCAATTTTTTATTAACAATTTTTATCATTGAAAATTTTAGAGTAACTGTTATTTTTGGTCCCTGCTTTTATTTAATCTATTCTACCCAACGTTCGACGATCGAAAGCATCGAGTCACCGACTACGGATTGTTTTCCATACACCAAGCCTTGCTTTTCCTATCTAGAACCTATCTAGAACCTGCTGAAGTCTTTGATTCGACCCGAGGTCTGCCAACATCCAGCCCGATCGAAAACGCGAAGTAATAATTCGCCGGTTATTCGTGTACACCGAGCCTTACTCTCGTATATGTGGTCATCCTACCGCTCGCAATTCGAGTGGAATGAACGGCATTAGCATACCGGCGGATTAACGGTTCGAGGCTTCCACAGAGCCAGTGTTCCTATCAATATTCCCAGGCGCTGGGATGTAAATCGTGCTCACGTGGAAATTGATTCCGACGTTGGTACCGCAGCCAGCTTCGTCGAAGGCTCGATAGGCTGGATGAATTATAGACTGCGCCGAATATACAGCGTTTAGAGATCGCAGCGTTATAGAGTAAGGATTAGGCGAATCGTAGCCCGGTCATGCACTATCCTGGAGGAAATATCCTGAAGGAAAGTCGCGTGATCGATCGTAGGACAATGTCAGGCCTCGGAGAAGCTAGCTGGACCTCTGTCGGTGCACTAATACCGGAAATCTCTATTATTCTCTTAGATTACGTCTTGCTAAGCGCGTAGCCACGAACGTCGAACCTTTTTTTTATTTTTAACGCGGAAGAAATGCTTTATGCATTTATTATGTTATTGCATTTGTTATGTGGGACTCGCTGGCGAATGGACGCTCTTCGTGGCCCCGATCTGGAAGTGTACCCACTAAAAATCTCGCAATGACTTCCCTGAGCTAATAAGGAGGTGGCCAGGATCTCGTACCGAATGCAACCGACCACCTCCCACACGAACATCGAACCTTGACGCATCCTAACCTAACAGGAGCCTTCCATGGAGCATCCACTTCTCGGAGTTGTCCTTCATCGCTGCATCTATGCACCTGGACGCCATCTCCAGAGCTCGTCCGTACCGTCCAGTCTCCAGGTAGCATCGTCCTATCTCGTGCCTGATCCAAGCCACGGGTATAGGCTCCTTCAAGTCTCTGGACAGGTGCTCCCAGGCTTTCGCCGCCGCGTTCAGGTGACCGAAGCTCAGATGGACCTTTCCCAAGGTGGCCAGCGATCGACAGAACTGAACCACGTCCCCGGTGCTCTTGGACAATCGTATCAGGCGGGAAACGTTGCATACCGCTCGATCGTGTCTCCCCAGAGCCACGTGGATCAAGGACAAGTAATGATACGCGCCTATCTGATAGCGACTGGGGTCCTGGAGTCCGGCTGACACTATGAGCAACTCCTGGGCTATCTTCAAGGAGACGGACATTTTACCAGAATCGAAGGCTGACTCTAGGTTTCTCAGATACAAGTTTGCCAGGTTGCTCTGCTGTCTCAGCATCGTTCTCGATCGCGCCAGGCGGATGCTCGACGGTCTCGGGGATGGCTGGGTCTTCCAGTAACTTTTGTGGTCGTCGAAGTAGCTGAAATTGATGGTTAGTTAGTTTGAGATTGAATAAATAGTGACCGAGTATGTATCGAGGACTGCGCTGGTTGGTGGGCGTTAATTCCTGTGGAATGTATTGTTGGCGCGTTGTCGAAACGCTCTAGCCACGTAGCGATACTAGACTGCCGAAATCAGCCGAAATATGGCTCCCTACTACTAATCAGGTGTCGAATAAGGAGCGTGTTATCGCCGATTGAGTTCCGATAAGGCGACAGTTTAAAGATAAAAACCTGTGTCAGTTAACACTTTATCTACCGGGCTATTTAGAAGCAGACTGTAAAAAAGAATTTTCTACAGTAGCATATGCCAATCTAGGCTGACAATAATTTCTTCATACTGTTACTAGGTACATTGAAAGCCAAGTCTGTTACCAAACACTGAACACTGTTCGTAGACATCCATCAACACAGTAAATAAATTCGAATAATTAAGTACTGCAATGAAAAAGCCTATAAATAGGCTCCCGGTAAGTGATTTCGAAAGGACTCCTATTCTTTTTCCCTTCTGCTCACCTGCGGTATATTGAATAAGTAGACTGAGAAACTGTAGATTCTGAGTATTCGCTGGAAAAGAGAGACAGCTTAGGTCCTGATCTAATTGTCCCGTCTGTACAATCGAGGGTAATTCGGGTGGATCCAGGTCTTAAGGCTTTCGCACCGTGCGTTTCCATTGAAACCTACCGGTACTATCTACCGAGACTCTAAGCCCACACCTATATACGCTACTGTTGAACAGAACGCATTTCAGTTAATCGTAGTCTAAAGGCGCGATGATATCTCTGATATAGGTAGACAACTTGTGGACTATAGAATACAATGATCCCACGTTGACAGACTATAGATATTTATGTATAGACTAGACTCGTTTAATATGGATCGAATGGTCTACATAAGTTTTAGGTAGGTCCACGCGGTGGACTCATTCATTATTCATTAGATGAATCCTGGTAGACTGTCGTGCAGGTGGGCAACTAATGTCGTACTATTACGGACAGGACGGTGGATATACGCGGTAGTTAGGTTCATGGTCTGGCGAACGGCAGAATAGGTCAGCTGTAGTCTCGTGGATTATAGATCGGTTAGATCCGAGGAGTGGAGACACCATCTAATTATTGGTAGACACCTAAGCTCAAGCTCCGATACCTTGCTAGCTCTGTGAAGATCCCATTCGGTGATCTCCTTGCGCCGAAGGACGAAATCTCTAATAGGAAGGTTTACGTTCTCGAAAAGTTATTGTAACGAGACAACGAGGAGTTCAATTGTTACTCGAACGGAACTCATAAAATGAACGAAATTTTATTAGAACGAGTACTCTATCCATATTCGAGTGAGATTAATGGACCAGTGTCTCCAAGTAAACCATTTAAGTAAATTCCAAGATGGAAATCCTATGGCGAGTTTCAAAGTGTCCAAGAGCAATTCTTAGAGAACCTTCACCAAGTCATACACAGTTCCTCCGAGTTCTCACCCTCTCCACCTTAATGTCCCTGCAAACAATCGCTAATTAACATCCACCTCCCAAGCACAGTACCAATGATAGGGTCTAGCAAGATGAGAATAGGTAATCGGCCCTGCTCCAATTTTCATTGCCATTATGTGCCTTGAACGCTTTTGACCTGAAACATCATTCCACAAAGTTTCTATTCAGATATTTAAATTCTGCAAAAACGAAAATATTCGTACTTATAAACTGCATCTCATATATCTTTTTCAGGGTATTCTTTTAATTATTAAGGATGGATATGCGTAGCTGTAACGATACGCGTCGTGTGTCTGACATATATTGTCTCATTCTACTTCAGTCCATTGCACGGAGCGCAACGCATGGAATTTTTGTTTCTTTTTAATTATTTACAACCGAGTCCAAATACCGTTTAAGAAATAATAAATAGAATACTTTTAAGGAAAATTTTATATCAATTACAAAATTGTTGAAGCTGGTTGCCTCCCTGTCGTATGCATAGGTGTAACGCTACACGTAGTATGTCTGGCATATATTGTCTCATTCTACTTCAGTCCATTGCACGGAGCGCAACACATGGGATTTTTGTTTCTCTTTAATTATTTAACCATGTTCCAGGACTCCGACCGTTCTGAAACTTTAACGCGTGTCAGCTAAATAACCGATCATCACTCCTGATTTTTTTGATAAGTGGCCCTCACAGGGTTGTTTGCAATTACCACCCGCAAAAAATAAATTATTTATTTTCTACACTTACTAATAAATAAGTACCCTGAAAAAAATATATCAGATGCAACTTATAAATACGAATATTTTCGTTTCCGCAGAATTTAAATATCTGAAATAGTAACCAAGAAAAAAAAAAATAAAGTTAAGAACGTTTACCCCCATATTACTCTTAAACGGAGGGGTAACAGTCTGAAACTTTGTGGGATGATGTCTTAAGTTAAAAGCGTTCAAGGCACATAATAGCAATGAAAATTATGGTGGTGGCTGATTGCCTATCCTTTTCCTGCTAGACCCTTCTTATACGAATGGCGCACCTGAGGACTTCGGCCACCGAGGACGGGTCCGGCGACTTCCTGAGCTTGTCGTTGGCCTGGATGGCGGCCGATTCCGGGCACAGGCTCGCCACTAATCGCTCCTCAGTTTTCGCGTTCGATAAAACCCTCCGCAGGGCTTTCGACGGATTATTGCAGGAGCTTATCGTTGCCGCCGTCCGCCTGGCTGCCACGCTGTGGCTGCCGTCCCGTGGAAACAAGTTCGCGGCTCGATGATACAGGACCAACGCGGACTCGTAATCGCCGCTGCAAATTGCGATTCGACGGTTGACGGTCGTCTACGACGACGTGACGACCGCTTAGCCGTGCCAGGACGAACCCCGACTCGCGATTAATTACGACCTGACCGGGGTCCTGGTTAAGCAACTCGAGCGCCGTTACAACGACGCGGGACGACGCGTCACGTGGAGCAATTAACCAACGGAACACCGACGCCTAGTCCTGGCGAGCTTGGAATACGGAAAACATGGATGCAATTATTGCTCGGGACGCGACAACTTGGACCGTGCGGGAACGGATTTCGCGATGACGCGGGTCGCTCTAATTTTGGCTGGCTTGGACCATCCTTCTCACATGTCGCTGCTATTAAATTCCACGAATACACTGAGAGGGACGTCTCATATTCTCAGCATCTTCTAGACTAAAGCACGGATATGGAAAATATACGAACGAAATATCCAATTCTTAAAACTAATTTGCTGCGTGAAACCTAATGGCAACTGAGAGTTACGTCTCGAATGCAAAGAGTTAACGAACACCGTAAGTAGAATTGGCGAGAAATGGTCAGACATGAATGAGATGCATTGTATCCCAGACAATATTAACCCTTTGTACTCGAAGGCTTTTTTTCTGGTATCTTTTAGCAACTCGAGATGCTTTCTTAGCATTCTATTGTCACGAATGCTAAGCTTAGATTGACTTTGAAAATGAGATCTCTAATTTGAGATTTGAGAATCAGGACACCTTTGCCTCAACAACAATCATTTTATTGATACTTCCAAGTTCCGAAAAAATTAAACCTAAAGGAAACCTAGTGGTGACTGAGAGTCATCTCTCGAATGCAAAGGTTAAATCGCATTGAGCTTTTTAAATAGGAACTCCTTAACTCATTAACAATAAGCTCGTCTTGAGCACGACAAGAACAAAATAATTTGACGAGTGTACTCTCCCAAAGCACCGAAAAGCTTAACCTCTTTTTCATTTTTCTAAACACTGTAACGTGTATTTTATTCTTCATATTTTCTATGTTTTCCTTGTTTCTACTAAAAGTAAATCTCCGAGTTCCAATCGCATACCGCGATGTAACTTTGCAAAGTAACTTTGTCTTCACCCTAAAAAAAAAAGTCATCCTTTGTTCCACCTTCTGTGACACTTGAGCAATTTCAATCTGAAGCAGCAACAACTGTTCGCGTTTATTGTTTATTTCAGTTGGCGGAAGTCACTCGAAATAATCTGTAAATGGGTTCCATCGCGAGCCGATGAATGCAGCGCGTGTTTCAGCATCGTTGCGATTTAACCGGAATACCCGGATCATTTAAACGAAATTCATTGGAGAGGCGATCGTGTCCACAAACGATCGTATGACAAAGAACCCGAACAACTACCGACGACCATAATTTCGATACCGGCATTATGGGATTACGCGGTCTCGCTCTGGCCGTGTTCAATCGCCCGGAGAGCGCTCGAGTGGGTTCGTCGCGTGAAATTCATAGTGTTTCGCAACGTCGACCAATTGATAACCAGCGAATAAAAGTGCGACGTCGATAGCTTCGACGAGTCGGGACCTGATAATTGTAAACAATTCGTGACTGTATTATTCTTCGAGCTCTTTGAAACCGAACAGTTAATATGTATACATATACTTTGTACCAAAGAGGTGCGTATAATTATTAAAATATATATAAATATAGGAGTATTATATACGTATACAATATTTAATTATTCGTACATGTTAGAGCTTTTGGTGCAAAGATAAAATGAGAATGGGTATTAAAGCTCTCTGAAAACGAACATTTATTACATGTTCGTTTGTACCAAAGAGGCATGTACGGTTATTGAAATAAATATACATATGTGAATATTAAATATATGTAGGTATGTAATTTAGGAATACGTACATACGATATTTAATTATTCGTGTACGTATGTCGAACCTTTATGGTACAAAGCGAAAATGAAAATTGATATTTAATTTCGAGTGGAATCGTAACGCAGAAATGAACATAATTACGCGTCAGGCTTTACAGGTTTGCGTTTCTTTAAATAATTTAAATAATCGTTGCCGATAACAGAGAATCGCGCACGCATCGTAATTAACGATGCAAAAGTGATTAAACGATAGCGATACGGTCGCTCGAATAACTCCACTGGCATTTCCAAAGGAATAAATTAATTTCCCTGATTAAATCATCAAAACCGACCAGGAACAATACAAATAGAAATTCATGGCGTATTAAAACGCGGTTTAATTCTTAGTGTACCGATTTCAATCGTTACTAGTGTGATATTATCAAACAAAAAAGCTATCAATAAAATATACTCGCTGATGCAACATAAGCATATCGAAACATAAATACTATCATTTATATTAACCCTTTGCACTCGAGACCTTTTTTTTTTGTATCAACCAGCAACTCGAGATGCTTTCTTGGCATTCTACATTCTACATTCTGTATTGCAACGAATGCTAAGCTTCGATTGACTTCGAAGATGTCATTTTATTGACACTTCTGGTTCCAAAGAAATTAAACCTAAAGAAACATTATTGCTGGTAGATTTGCTACGCGAAACCTAGTGGTGACTGAGACTCACTTTTGATTACAAGTCACTAAGACGCAACTTTTATTAGATATTTATTTTTATTAAGGCTGCGTTCACGTACTTCTGAGCGAGGGTGTACAGGGTGTCACAGTCTAATTGATACGGAGCTCTAACTCCAAAACTATCGGCCAAATGCAAAATTTCAAATATGGAAATTGCGTGGTACAATGGGCCTCATGTTTCAGCGAGAAAGAATTTTTGTTAACTTTGTTATTGAACGAGATATGATGGTCAAGTTTCGTTTTTCAATTGGAACTATGTATTTTTGTTTAAACCACGCGATAGTGCTTTTCAAGACGAATTCATTAATCTTGAATGCATTTACCCGATTTTATTAGCTTTCAAGATATAACGCTTCAAAGTTTGCTAATTTTCAAGGAAAAAACTCGCTTGGTATTCTAGGCACAGAATATTGGGATTCCTACCGTTTTTAACCGACTTCGAAAAGGAGGAGGTCACTCGATTCGACATGTATATTTTGTTTCTCCTTCATTGAACCTAGAATATCGCACCTGTCGGAACGGTGCCGCTATCGAAAAGATCGTATAAAGCGAGGAAACCTAAATTCGATACCCGACGGATCGTTATCCCTGACAATTAATAATGCATAAAACACTGGAAAGATATAACGTCGCGCGAATTCGCTCGTTAGAGCTTCGAAACGGAAACGACCGCATCCGGTATTCCGTTTGCCGCTCGAGTCGCTTTGAGAACCGATAACCTCGTCCGCGATTTCCGTCGCGGAGGACGTCCCGAAGGCACGAAAAGTTTCGCCCGGGATATGGTAATATGTCTTGCCTGTGGTAGAGCCTATCGGCTTCGCGATGAAGGGACTGCGCTAGCTCGCGGTCGTTTCTGCGACCGGGCTTCGAGTCGCTCTTCTGCTCGAGACGCGCCCGATTTTCCGCGCTTTCCACCGCTTTTCGCGTCTCGTTCAGGTCGACCAGACCGTCCTTGAGGTCTCTGCTCGCGAGGACAGCCATCGATTTTCAAACTTGAACACGCAATGACATCGCGCGGCTTGTTATCCGCGGAGCGACACGTCTGCCTGAACTCTGTCGCGAGATATCAAACAGGATCTGTCCTCGCGAACGACTCGAATGACGTTCGAGAATCGAGAGGTCGAAGCTTTTCTTATCGGAAGGTAAGCGAGGGAGGGATCTCCATACCTTTGCGATTACAAGTGCATAAATAATTTTACGTTGAATTATTTTACTTTGCGATAGAGTCCAGTTGCGCACTTTTTAAATGTACACACATGTATACATATACGTATAAAATTTTGTTGAAATCATTCGGAAATAGAGAACGCTTAAATTAAGGGTGTCCAACCCAAATGATTTCCCATGTTAGATTTAGACCCATTATAGACATTTTTTTTGCTCTTCGGCTCTTCAGCTTTTTTCGACACGTAATCGATGGGACGTGATCGCGCTCCTTGGCATTTTTCGACCGCGTTTCGTGAAAACTTTCTGGTACTTCTGGTATAGTTACAGCTATGCATACGGCAGGCGCTGCACATTTTCACTGCAACAATCTAATAGCTTATAAGAAAATGAATCCATCGAGGTTCGATATGTTGACCTTCGCGTGACATTTAGGTCGTTTCATACTGCCAGTTTTGTTTCTTTTTAATTATTTACAACTAAGTTACAATCCATCGGGCGACGCACAGTTTGTAAATAATGTCTACATATCGTTTAAGAAATAATAAACAAAATACTTTCAGTCTTGAAGCATGGTTAAATAATTAAAAAGAAACAAAAATCCCATGCGTTACGCTCCGTGCAATAGCCTCAAGGAGAATGAGACAATATACGTCAGACACGCCACACGTATCGTTACAACCTCCTAATAATACTCCAAACACGATAATTCCTCCCCGAAGAGACTGAATCTAAGATCTCACCATTCCCCCATAAGACTGAAACTAACCCTCGGGCAATTGTCTGTTCGAGACACGTGTAACTGTATTTACAGACAACTGAACGTTTACAAAGGTTTCGCCTAAGGGAAAGCCCAGAGGGACGAGATAAGGAACTTTTTATCACGCGATGTCTGTTCCACTCTTCGCCAGAAAAAAAGAACGCCGGCTACCTTCTCTAGTTAATTATAAAGTATCCGTAGATACAGACGGTATCCGGCAACGCGCAAACTTTTCCAATAGAACGAATCCGATGTTCCCAGAGAACTTCTTAGACGTGTTCGGCGATGCAGTCCGCGGGGGAGAACTTTCGAACCAACGGCGTGGCAGACAACGACGAAGTCATCCCATTAGGTGGCGCGATTTTCAAGGGCTTTGCGAACGGTATCATCGATTCGATCCTCCTTAGTGTCGGAGAGTGGAAATGAAGCATGGGACCATATAACTTCGCGATCGTTCCACTTTAAAACTATTCTTCGAGAGGGAACAAAAGGAACTCACCTCGGAGACTAGTAAACCCTGGAATGATAATCCGAGAACGGATCCGGGTGTCCGATTCATCCTCTTTACTGTCACACGGTGAAAGTGAAGTATCGCACCGTATGACTCTGCGATCGTTTTACTTCGGAGCTGTTCTTCGTAAATGAGTAATTAGAGCCCACCTAGGAGGCCAGCCAACCGTCGGATTTTCTAAGAAGCTGCGAAAGGTCATGGGTTCACGAAGGCAACTCGGAAACCGGCTCAACGAGCTTCCAAGTAGGTGGCGCTGAATCGAAGTCCTGGAAATTTAATTAAACGATTGAAGCTCTTTCGAGGAACTCTTGAAGGCAGGATTGGTTGCTCTACAAAGGAACTCGCAATCTTTACCTCGACCTCTCTATCAGCATCAGTGCTATATCCTGACAGGATAATTTACGCTCCCAGGGATTGTCAGTCGTACTCGTCGAAGTCCACGAAACCTGGTCTCTCCTTGGAGGGCTCGTACTGCGCCAGCAGAGCCCTCATAGCTTCCAACTCGGGGTCCTTCGCAGGACTAGGCAGAATAGTCATCCTTTTGCAAGGTAGCTTGGTCTTCTTGTCGACGGGTTTACAGCCAGGCATCACGGACAATCTCCTCTTTGCGGGAACGGCGTCCATGCTTCTCCAGAGGTAGTCAACCTTTGGCTTCATGTCCTCTGGCATCAGGTCCAAGATCAACTGCTGCCTCGCGGCGATTGCGTCGTCGTCCAGCAACTTCTCCATGTCCATCTCGTCAATCGTCTCCGCGATTTTCACGTAAAAGTCGACCAGGAAGTCGAGTCCCAGCTTCTTCGCGCTGGTGAGCGCCAGCAGCGCCGACTCTTTCGCTTCGTTTCTATAGTTCTGGACGATCTCGATCCGCATGAACAGGTGGTGGCTGTTCAGCACCCACTGCTCACTACCTGCCTCCTCGCCCTTGTCCAGGGCCTTCTTCCCGTAGAACCTGGCCAGGTCGTAGCGATTGATGCTGATGAGGTACTTGCAGAGCTCGTGGAACAGCCAGGCGAGCTCCAGAGGCTGGGACGCCATGGCCAGTCTCCTGATGGGAAAGGTATTGGGTTGATGGACTATCGGGGCATGGTTTGTTTATTTACTTAGGTTATTTACTAGGGTGTGGACTTCCCGAGGGAGCAGGATGGAACGGGGCAAGAGGGATAAGGGTTTAAGGGAGAAGTAGTGGATAGGCATGGAGTATAGTGTGGAGGGTTCAAAAATTGAAGTGAGCTAGGTGGACTATAAATGTGACAGGCAGCAGCATCAAAGGGAAAGGGATCAAAATAATGATGAGCACTCATGGAGTACAGCATAGAGTGTCTAAAGTAGAGATGGCTTGAACTGCTACTTTTGAATCACTCGTGATTCAATCACGTTCATTCTCAATCACGATGATTTTTCACAGTGATTCGTGATTCTTCGTGATCGCGTCTGATTGGTAGAGAACATTATTTTCACGAATTATGTTGTTCTTAGATTATATATGTATCATAATATGGTCTGAAAGCAATGTTAATATAATTTTAGTACGATTTAAATTTGACTCATTTGTAGTTTCTTGAATTTCCGCTAAGGGAGACAGCGAGACACTAACAATAACAATTAACATGAACTGCTTCTGAAAACGCCATCACGGTCGTGATCGAAGTTTAATCACAACTGCGATCGTGATTGTGTGATCACCGTGAAAAATCACTGTTAGTGACTCGTCTGCTAGTGGACTCGTTAGTAAGGCTATCTAGCAGGCCCGTACCTTGGACGTCGGTATATTTGGAGTTCAATCGGGAAGGGCTTATATAGAAATGTAAGGTGGGACAGTAGGTACCACCACAAGAATATAAAAAAATGGCCACGCGTTACTACAAACTGACACTAACGAAAATTCTACCCAAACGATTGTAAACGAAAATTCTACGCCTCCCCCATGGGAGTTCCTGATATAGCTTCCTAAGAAACCTTCCCCTGGTTAGTTTCGTCTTCCCACTCGTATAAAACTTGCGGTTACTGAAAGCCTACCCGATCCTAGAGAAGGATATAACACGTTCCTGGACTTCGTGACTCGGCGGCTGCCTTAGGAGAAACTGTGCCGTCTCGAAGAATTGCTTACCCTTGCAATTTAGTTTGATCAGGACGAAGGGATACCTCGGGAGAGCCAGAGGGAGGGCTAACTGGCGTTGGTCCGAGGAAATCGATTCAGTTTCAGCGGGAAAACTGTTCGCGTGGGAGATGATACGGGCAACTCCTAGGTTTCGCGGATGCAGACAGTGACAAACAAAGTGGATAAAATGTAATGCTTGACTTATGGCATCCGAACACTCCCGACCCAATTCCGCCTGGCTTTATTTCGCATAAATTCTCCTGGACAGGCTTTGTGTAGCATAAATTACCTCGCCTTTTGTGCTGCTCCTCTCATTCTGTTTCGTTCAAAGAATACCAAGTGTTGCCTAAAATGCCTAAGAATGGCTTCGCGGAAGGATCCGGATTTAAGTTATGCCCGATGAAATATGGTATCGCGATACCATATCGCCGTCAACCGTCAGCAACCATCTCCATCTCGGACGTTATTATACAGGGTGCCTCGGGTTTTCATGGACAAACTCGGGGAGCATATCAAGTTTCGCATTTCTACAAGTGGAAATAAGAAGAAAGTGTTATTTGAAGTTTGCTCGGAAACGCTGTATTACAAAGTTATAAGAAAATAAAATTAGTATTTATCTTATTTGTCTATAGTGTGGTGGGACCTCTTGTCCTCGCCACTAGAGGGACGGACGCCGCGAGTCTTCTCATAAGCGCTTGTTTGGATGGGTATGATTAATGACCAGTTTGTTGGTCCTTTCTTTCTGCCTGAGAGATTGAATGGACTGCTTTTTCAGTGATTCTTATCAAACGATTTACGAATTTTGGTGGAAGACGTGCCACTGATGCTTCGACAAAACAGTTGGATACAGTTAGACGGTTGTCCATCACGTTATGCCAGGCCAATCAGAAATTGGTGAAATGAAAATTACGATGACAGGTGGATTAGTCGACGAGAGCCAGTTCTATGGCCTCCAAGCTCGAGTTTTATTTATAGGAAATTTTAAAAGATAAAGTCTACAGTGCAGAAGTTGTTACTTCGTGTGAAGAATTAAAACAACGACTCAATCCCTCCGTTGCTGAAATGCAACAAAATAAGGAAAAGATTTGTTCCGTAATAAGCTCCATAAAAAATCCAAAGACGACATTTTGAAATAATCCGACAAACATCTTCGACCTTTCAATGTTCAGCGAAGTAAAATCCACCGTCATCAATTCTATTTGTTTGTAAACTTTTTAATAAAGCGATTCTGTGCAAACTTCAAATAACATTTTTTTTCTTATTTCCACTTGTAGGATACGCTCCCGAAGTTTGCCCATTAAAACCCGGGACACCCTGTATTCCGAAGCAAATGACGGATTACGAATATTGTCGGAAGTTCGTCGATTCCTACCTACGAAATACTCTGAGCGCATCCTTCCCATGATGAGAATGTATCCAGGCGATGTCGCAGTCGCGTGGCAGTTCGGCCACGCGTATTCCCATGTGATGCTTCAGATACGTCATCTTCTGCTCTTTGCTCTGGAGCTGGCTGAGGTCTCGAGTGTCGATGTACGCCCACGCGACCATGTTGTACACCGTGTCCAAACACTTCTGCCTCAGGGGGAACATTTTCAGAGAGTACGAATCGAACTTGTCCTTCACGCGGTCCACCATACTAATGAGGCGGAAACGAGGATCAATGAATCATTTGTCTTTGCAGTTCGAAGACCGGGAGGTCTTTGAAACTATGTGGGGGTATTTCGGATTAGTCCCACTTGAGGTCAAGAGGAAATTACACAATAGGGGTGGTCTCTATGGCCCCTATGGAGGAGACAGAGGCATTTGGTGACCAATCGACTCTGCCTCGACTACGATGGCACCTGCATTAGACTTCAAACGTATCTCTGAACAAAACCCGTAGGTAAAAGGCTGTGCTATGACTTGTTCCGAAGACTCACTTGAAGAACGTGATGTAGTCTCTACTCATTCTCACGTCGTGCAGACGGCGCAATAGGAAGTCCGCCTCGATGATGATGAGATTACTGCGCAGTTTCTTCTCCTCCTCCATCATCATTTTGTGACCCTTCGGTATCGCCATTCGTTCGAACATCATCACGTAAAGGGGTTGTCGCATCCGAAGGATACGTTGCCTGCGCACAACCCTCCAGTAGTTCCTCGTCGCCATATGGTGAAGCCGTTTCGTGGACTCCTTGTGGGGGGACTCCAGGATTTCAGGGTATTCGGTCAACTTCTTTAGGAACTCTTTGTCGTTGGCCAAACGGTCCAGATATATTTTCGCGATCACACGGTACAGTCTCCTCAATTTCATCGTAGCTCGTACTTTTGGGTCGTTTACTTTTAACCTTGTCTGTTCCTCGTCTATGCCTGAGGAATAAGCAAAATATCGAAGCTTTCGAGTTGTTTTCCAATAACTGCTGTACAATCTCTCGCACCGTTTGCTTCATAACTCTAAATGTTAGTCGTGTCGCTAGAGAATACTCATGGTCCTACTATAGCTCCTCCGCTCACGTCGACCGGCAGTGTTTCGGAGTCAGAGAACATGGCGAATAATATTTACCAACCTCCCGTGCGTACGATGCCCCCGAGGACCAACGTAACGGAATTGCAATCTGACGTAGCGGGGAAGTTAAACCGTTCAACGAATAGTATTAAGTTGTAACGAGCTTTTTTCCCCCTCGAGGAGTCATTTTCGTAACCGGGACGTCGAGTTACAGTCCAATTAGTTCGCGGAACAGAAAGTTCCAGGCCAGTGGCGGAACAAGTGCAGCTAACTTGATTTTCCCTGGGACCGTATTTACCCGTATTAAAATTAAAGTCGGTAAATCAGAAAGTTAAGTCGAGTCTTAGGAATTACGCGAGCGTTCCGGCGACCCGAGTCTTCGGCGGAAGCTGCGTTTGTCGCCGATAAAATGTACAAGAAATTCGCTCCCGTGAGCGGTCGGAGGGAATTCTCTGTTGAGAGGGTGCTTTCGAGTAATAATCTAGCTGCAGTTACCGTCTGCCTTTTATTACACCTCGGAAGGAAGACCCCGGGAGTTATTCGGGACGCGACACTAGCGCCACCGTCGTGACGCGCGCAGTTATACCTTCGAATTCGTCTACTTCCTCTTTGAGCTTCTCGATCATCATCATTCGATGTTCCTTAAGGTGTTCTATCCAGGGTGAGAGAAGCTGAAGAGCTCTGGGGTGGGTGTTTCTACCGACGCAGTCTTCCACTGTCTGGTTCCCTTGAATTATTCCATGCAATAGAGCGACAGTTTGGCGTTTCTGAAAACCCTGGTGGGCGTGAATCAAACTGGCTCCGAATTCACCCGCTAGGAAGAACGATTGCAGCTGCAGCTCCTTCACTTTGGAATACGCTGGCTCTGAAAGTTCATGTGCAGTTGTCAACGTACAGTTGCACTCGTGCGCTTTAGTCGTTTCCGATAGATTGATTATTTTACATTAGACGATAGAATTCGAAAGTCCACGGACATTGCGAGCCAGGTTTCACGGTAGAAATTTGTAATAATTTAATTACAGCCACTTCACAGGTAACAGTCTTCGTGCGTGCAAAGTAAGAATAATCCGACGGAAGGGCGAGCTAAGTAATTTTATTCGAGCACCGAGCAGCCCCGTTCCGGGGTCGTGTGGTCCGCTTTAAAGTTGCTTCGCTCGCATAAATTATTTTAAATTGCCTCCCGCCCGTTAGAACAAATCCGACGCGTCCGCTTCCCGGCTTGCCGAGCGGAAGTAGGAAATTTACCCCGCAGACTTTCCCGAATTGCGCGTTATCTCTTAGTACCTAAGTACTCCTTAAGTCTTGATGTACAGAGGGCGCTTAAGGACCTTATCCATCACGGTCCACGAACAAAACTTTAATTCTACGCGTAAAAAATATCACGAGGTGCCTCGGACATTTCCTTACGAAATATGTTTTTTGAAACGAGAGGGAGAACTTTGAGAACTTCGACAAAAAATATAATGCAGATTTGCGATCCTAATGTTTACATAACAGTTTCTCCCACTTCTTTCAAGTTTCTTCTAAGCTAAGTTTCTTCTAAATGAACCAAGTACCAGTCTAACCTATAGACGCGCACATCTTGGTGGTTTTCAACGCCCTCCCGTATCTCGCGTAATTGATCTGGGTCTTGAGGAGGCCGAGGAAGGTCCTAAAGTCGTCATACTGATTCTGTTGGATCGCCTTCCCGAAGTAAATCTCCGCGATGGGGTAGTTCTGGCTGATGGCGAAACGGTAGGCCCACTCTCGATAAACAATCCAATCCCTGAAGAATTCTGGACCCTCGTCCCTCTTCATCTTCGCCATCGCGACGAATTTTGCCTAGGGCGAGAGAAATTAATCGGAAAATTTGCTCCTGTCGGTCGATCTCCGCGGATCTCGAGCCGGCTAACCTATTCACCGGAACGATATATAATTCACCAAACTGAAAGCCAACCCCCGCGAACTTCAAAGGTTCCCCTTCACTCATGAATTTTGCACCGCAGTCTCGGAACGGGAATCGTTTCGCGATCACATCTTCATGAAATCGATGAGATCTTATTTTTCTTCATTTTAATCCAACGTAACGAGACCGCGGTTCTGTGCAACCAATTATGCCATCCGAAATGGGCGCGCGCAGCTCTGCAAATCGCGCAGATGGCGTTGCGCTACTTCCGACTGCGTCCACGAAGCATTAAAATTAATTTTCTCCGTGATATTAATGAGGTTTTATCCATAGATAAATAAATAACACGTTTTCATCTGCTTAGCCTATCATTGTTTGTTGATCTTCTTCATCCTCCGTTGAGTCCACATAACCGTCCGTTTGAATATTTGAGAAACTTCTTTCCCAGCCCGTGTTACTTTTATTCCCCAAATTCCAGTCGCTTTCGAGGAAAATTTCCATCCCCTTGTCCCGTTAAAGCGGTTATCGACCCCTTTCCGAGTTTGCCAAGCGACTGACCCTTTTTAATAATGCACACTGGGACCTGCTCTCGTTCCCGTGTCTTCTCTCCCAACTTCGCCAACTGTTTCCGGGTTAAGGACACAAGTTTCCCCGTCTCCAACCTTGCACTGAGACACAATTCACCCTTGCTCTAGCGATGAATCCTCCGAACAGAGGGGAATTCACTTTGTCCACGTGATTACAGGTTCTTGTCTTAGTCACGACCGAGATAACTTACTCCAAGTTTACTCGGAGTGGTTTACGAATTTTACAGAGTTCGAACATCGACGATGATTCCTCCTTCTTTCAATTATTTTCATTTCTCGACAATGACTAAAGGAATTATCCCTGAATCCTCTACTCGAGTGGTATATTTATGGAGTCGCTGATTTATAGAATCTCTGTCAAGTCCTCGTAATTTAAGTTTCACGTGTTGGCATCGGAGTGTTCGTTTGAACGCAAGTGGAGACCCTTCGTAATCCTATTTCAACTGTGAAATACTGCAGTTGCATGTAAGCTCTCTGTGGCATTAATTGTCGCACACGGGAAGGGATTACATTACAAGTACCGAAGTGGATTCCTGGCCACGGTATTTTGTCTTTTTCGCCGCGCTGACAGAGAGCTTCGTTATATTCTCGAAACTTTTTATCATGGGTGTTGTCGAACTCCTTTCTTGCTCCTCCATTGATGAAACTATTCCAGTGAAATATAAATGTATGGAATTCCATGAAAACTTACGAATAACCGAGTTGTTTTACATCGATTATTTCAAAGCATTTAGATGGAGGAACTCTTTTCTCTGTTGCAGAGCAGTCCACAGTATCCAGCAACGTAAAGGCGCCGAGCAATCGCGGACCCATCGATTTAGCTGTGCCCTCGAGATGCGGTGATGGCTCTGCTCTACAGATTCGCGCAGCTGCCTGACAGCAGTGGCACGCGGGTCTTCTCTTTCGTCGTCACCAGGAGCGTGGTACGCGATCCCGAAAGAGACGTCACTAGCAAGGAACTCGTCTGCGGCTTCCAACGATGGTCCGTCGCGTTCTCGCGTGGAAACAAGGTAATTGAAGCAAATAAAACAGTAATCTCTCGCTACACAGAGAGGTCATTGTCCTTCGCAATCTCTTATCAGAGGTCACGCTATTCTCACTTTTACCACGGCGTAGATTAACGTTCTCCGTCGCGTATGCAAACCAATCGATCGAAAGTATACGCGAACGTGTTTATTAAATCGCCATCGCGCGGAATGAACTCGGAAAATCAATCGACCGTGTCGATGCTTAAATTCAATTAGCGCGAACGCCGTCTGCTTTTGTAAATACGAACGGAAACGCGGCGCGTCTCGCGTACCAAAATACGCTGCGATTAACTCGGTAATTGAATAGCGATATTATCGGGAAATTAATGAACCCGCCAGCGATAATCCACTATCGAGAATAAAATCTCGCAATCTCGGTTCACGAACGTGTGACCAGGAAATAAAGGCAAAGCCAGGATCGATGAACGGCGCGTTTGGTTATCAGTACGTACAGGATGGGCCACGAGTATCGAAACGATCCATAGTAGAGTGACTTTATAAGTTGAAACTAAATGAAATTTCGATTGGATTTGTAAAAAAAAAAACACGCTGATTTCCAGATTTTTAGTAGAGACAACGTTGCTGTTTGTACAGGGTCGGTATACGGATTTGGTGGCGCCATCTGGGGTCGATAAAGGGAACTGTTTCGTTAGATATGGCGCTTAAAATCTTCTGTACATTGGTACTACCGAGTATATAGGGTTCAAAGTCCTAAAAACTTGCTAATTTCTTCATTTTCATCCTAATGAAATCGAATCTAGAAGTCACTGTAGTAACAGACACCTAAGAAAAATCTAAGACGAAAGCTTGTCTGTTCTCCAAGGTGCTGGGCGCGTACCTGGTATGGCGAGGTGCATCGAGAAATCTGCGGGTCTATGTGGACTTCACGTTCACCTTGCTCAACAGAGAGCACTTTTCGATGAACGAGGGCTTCTCGGGTAAGCGTGTCAAGTTCACCTACGAGGCCCCAGCCCAAGGCAACCGAAACTACATCCCCGTATCGGATCTGTACAACCGCAACTTCGCAGACACGAACGGCGAGTTCCAGCTGGAACTGACGATGTCGAACGTGAGAACCGTCTACATGACAGACCTTAAAATGCCCAGCAGCACGTTTCCCACTGGACAATCGAAGCCCAATAAGCTGGAGACCGATTGCTTCGCTTTCGGGGGATTCGATTGGAACCTGGTCATTTATCCCCATGGGAACAAGGAGCCTGAGGGTTACCGCGGCCACGACAGCGGCGTGAGCGTCTATCTGATGAGACTGAGGGGCTTCGACCACCGCTGCAGAGTCCGGTACAGCGTCACCCTTGGCGAGGGTGATCGTAGGATCGACTCTGGCCAGATAGAGGATCTTTCGGACGAGGAAGGACGCGGTTTCGGCTGGCATCCCCGCGTCAGGTGGTCGGAAGTCTCGCACAAAGGAGCTGTGCGAGTGTCGCTAGAGATGGTCGAGGCTAGGACCATCTGCGAGGTGGCGGTTCAAGCACGAGGACCTGCCGTGCTCCCTGCCATTCCTTGCTACGATCGGGACAAGCAGGCCTGGACCATTCGCGCCGATCTGCACTCGGACACCGTCAGGCTGCACTTGGTGTACAAGGATATCCACAACGTTCCTCGGAATCACTTGAGGTTTGTATTTCCTAATGGAACCTGAAATCAAAGGAGCTAAGTTAGAGTTTCTGTTGATCGTTTTGTGAGAAACTCGCCGTTTAAAAAATCCAATTTTATTTTTGCGTCGACAGGTACGTGAGCTGGTCGGCCTACCTGCTCAGGGAGGAGGAGCCCAGCACCGTGGCGACCAGCCTCCCAGGAGCCCCGTTCAGTCGTTACTACGCTCAAGAGTCTACGGACGAAGGAATCATCATGGAAACAAACCTGGATACGAACGAGGTGAAGGAAAACCACTGTCCCTACCTCACGGACAAGGGTCAGCTGAGGATTCGCCTAGAGTGGAACGAGAGCCACCTACTGTTCCAGGCGACTTACCACAAGTACGACGACGTCTGTCGCATACACAATCAGCAAATGAGACGCGAGATAGCCTCGCTCCAAGGGGAGAATTACAGTCTAGAGAGGCAGTTGTTCAGCTACCAGAAGAGCCTGGCGTACGCTGAAGCGCAACAACAACAGCAACAGCAGAACCAACAGCATCACGGTGGCCATCAGGCGCATCTGGAGAGATCCGCATCCACGGACACCGAATACGCCTGACAAGTGGAACAAATGAACGAGCTGCCAGCCGCCGGTTGCAGACGACAATTGCCGGTCGTGCAAGAGAACGATCGTCGCGTCCACCAGAATCTGGTCAGGATGATGGACCGACGGCTGAGCAACGTCCAGCTCCAGCAACACCTCTACGAGGAGGCGCAACAGTGCCAGCAAAGGTACAGCGACGGTTCCCCGCGGCAGAGCGTCGATCAGAACCAGGAGCACCGACGCAGCATCTTCCAGCAACCGAAGTCGGCCCGGTCCAGCGTGGGCAGATCGGACAGCGCCTCGGAACGTGGAAACGACCATTACGCCGGCTATTATTTGGGGTACGTCGGTCAGGCAGCGCACAAAAGACGTAGGACCACTTTCTGGGAGACCCTGACGGGTCTCGTGTGCTCATTGGGCGCTTTGGCTTCCAGGGCTGCCAAGATGGCCACCAGACGGGGAGAGCCTCTTTGAAGGAGCGCGCTCGCGGACCAGTGGACTGGTACGATACGGGATTCGAACTGGGTACCCGGATAACAGTGACGTATTTGTGATGTGGAGAGTTTAGAATGTTGGACGGTTACGGTGGAGAAGAAACGTCGACGGAGAAGCAACGCGCGACTCGTTTGTGTTCTCGTGGACTGGAGACTCGACGATGACGTTTGTCGTCGACGTACGCCGTGCACGTCGAGGATAACCAAGGTCGAAAGTGCCAGCACGCGGCTACGTTGACGGTAGAGCATTGAGAGCGAGGATTGGGACGCGGACTCGTCCGTGAATTCTATCGAAGAGAAGATGCGCAAAAGGGTTTCTTTCCTTCCGCGCTGTACAAGCTCGTAATTGGCGACCGGATGGACAATGGGACAGCAAGACGACGCGAGACGAGGACGATGGATCGCTCAGTCTGGGAAGGTTTCGCGGGGATGGTCGATTGATCACATTCGTCCATGCTACTTTTTTTCTTTTGCTGATGGAGTCCGATAAACAGAGACCAAGGACGGATATGTATCTCGTCCGGTAGAGGGCACTCGACGATGAAACAGCTCCGAAGGATGAAGCTTCGAATGGAACGGCCCGTCCAGGGCTGTTCGTTCTCGAGTACCACGGACGGAGAAACCAAGAAGGCTTTGACGTTTAATAATAATCGACTCGGGAACCGGTCGAACCTGCAACACACGAAACATACAGACACACAGACACACGGATACACGGTAGGAACCAAGAGGGAATCGACGGGGGAAATATACTCGAATGGCCCCGTCCCGTCCGTCGATTCGATTCTACACACGATTCTATCTACTTGTCAATTTACTATAAAAAAAAAAAAAGAAAATGGATGAAAAACAAACAAACAAAACCTATTTTCCTCTAAAGACTTTTTTCACCTATCGTCTGCGACTTCTTTGATAATAAAGGATCCGTGCGGCGTAGTCGCCACCAACTCGTAACAACGTAATAATCGTAGCACGTACACACCTTAAAACGAATATACAAAAAGAAACTACAAAAAAAAAAGATTATAATAATTAAAAAAGAAAAAAACAGAGTTTAGAGTGCAGTCGATGTTACATAAACGAAAGTAGGGGAACCGAGGCCGTTGTATACGCGCAAGCGTCGATGTCCGGCACGACCATTGCGTTCCAAGATGGAAGCCAACAGACCAGGGTAAACATAATGCGAACGATGCTGTCGTTCGATTCGTTTCACGCACGGGATATTCGTTAATTTTGTTCGATAATTTCTATTCTATTATATATCTATTATAATTCCAGCAAAGAGATTTATGTATTCCGGATAGCTTAGAAAATATCGTTGAAGTGAAAAGTTCGCAGTGATGGGCGAAACCCTAGGTTTCGAATAAATCTGAAGTTTGCCGATATGTTTGCTTCGTTTCCTTCTTTGGAAAATATTCAAGAGAGGAAACGAGACAAACATATCAGCAAACTTCAGATTTATTCGAAGCTTAGGGTTTTGCCCATCACTGAAAGCTCGTTAGAAAGATATTCGTGAATCTTTTATTTCCTTATTAAACGTGTACATATCATCTACACTTTTGATGAATTTATATGTTAAAATGGAACCTTCCTGTATGTTTACTTTCTTTTTATTAAAAAGTATTCTATTACCTTCGAGAAATAATTAACGAAAATCCCGGTGCGGAGCGAAGAGGCACGAACGACGTACCGCGTATAACGCCTAGATCGAAGATGCATCCAATTTATCGCTCGCCGAAAGTACACACTTATTTTCCTAGAACTCCTTGGTCGCGTTCTATACCGTGCAACAGCAGGGATGGGCAAAATTCTTATCTAAATATAAATTTCGAACAACGAATACGAAATGAACGGTTGAATAAAGATCAGAGAATGGGAAGAAAATTTAAAAAATGAAATACTTTGCAATGAAGAAAATTTAACCGTTTCATTTGTTGTCTTTTATTCCGAATAAAATGTTGCCCATCTCTCTGCGACTGTACGTGCTGGGTCGCGAACGATATTGCGCTCGAACCTTGGGGTCGCACGTTTGTCATCTAATTTCCTGCTCGTCCCGTCCCGTCGAGCATTCCAGGATCGACGTTTCGATGTTAACTTTAGCGTCGCTATCCGATTACGAAACGGACAGTCCGTCGATATTCCTTTTTTCTCTCCAATTCGTTCGTCCGACGGAAGCACACCAATTAACACTTCATTTCGTCGAAACGAAACAGGCAAACGATATAAACTGAGGGTTCCTGAACTCTACGAGCGCTTTCCTTGCCATTTTCCGATCCACGGAACTCTTCGACCCTGAAAATTCCAACTAAAAATTTGTTCTATTGAATAAAAGGCTGTGCAGTGGATATTATTCGTTGCCCAATATTCGTATAAATGTCTCTGTAAAATTGTTACGCTATTAGGAACCTTTCTAACCTTTATGAGTTTTTAAAAGCACCCTATTTGCCCAATATTCGTGTAAATGTTTACCTTTGTAAGATTTTTACGCTATTAGGTATCTTTTTAACCTTCGTGAGTTTCTAAAAGCACCCCTATTTCCCATAAATCTTTTATCAAAAAAATAATAAGCTACACAAAACCTCAATTACTTCAAGATGCCCTGGGAATCCCTTGAGCTCCCCCCCTCCCCCTCCCCTCCCCTCCCCCTCCTCGTCCCCCCCACGCCTTTACTTCCCCTAATATTTAATATCATCTAACTCCTAGCTCCCCTGTTGTTCCTAATCTCTATGAAACTTGTTCTCTTGAAATCTTCTTCGCTCCAATCCTTCTTTCAGCAAACTGGTAAGTACCATCTACTACTAAGCAGAAGATACGCTACCCTTTCCGCCTTTTCCCAAAGAACTTCCCCGCCGTAAAGTTCAGGAAGCGCTGGTTCACGCCTTGTGTGCCATCTCGCGTCTACCTGAAAACAAAAACTTCCTGCAGTCTCATCATCGTAAGTGACACGTACGCTCGATCCAATATCTATCGGCACCGCGGGGCACATTCGAGCCCATTGCTGCGTCCGGATGTGCGTCAGCCAGAGATGGGAAGAACTCTTGTTTCCATGAAACAACTCGAATAACGAATAAAAAAAATAAACTTATAAATCATCGTTTGTACAGTAAAAATTAGAGTGCGAATTATAAAATCTATTTACGTTTCAGGTTCGAGTTTCTAAAAGTCTCGCCCATCTCTGTCGTCCGGACACGACGCCATTGGTGTTTCTTCTCTCCTCGCGTATGTACATTTATTCATCGCTAAAGCCTATCGAATAACGAATGAGAATCTGATTCGAATATTCGTTCGAAGTAAAATTTGCCCAACTCCGGCTGCGAGTGACACAGCACACCGAAACACGTGCCCGCGAGCGATACGTGCACGTCAGGGCACCACGTCCGTCTCATCGTTAGCTAACGATCGATAAGGCGCCGTCAGTCCACATCGCGTACACGCTTAACAGACCACTATGAATCGTCGTGTGCAGCGCACGTGTGCCCGCAGGTAATTCGGGCGCACCTGTGTACACGAAACCCGTCAGGTCTCGCAACAGCCAGTTAAAAGCACGGACGCAAAGCCAGCGTCCACGAAGGGAAGAGTCTCGAATATCTCCCTTTCGTCAATTATTCCATCAGCCACGATGCTTGGAACGTATTCCGATTTCGTTCGACGAACTTTGCTTATTTATCTGATTAATTTAGTACGACAGATCGCTGTTTGTTTAAACTGTACTAGCCTCCGTGCTTTTAACTCGCTGGCTTGTCACGATACGTCGCATGAAAGTTGTATCCCTCCTCTGTAATAGCGGAATCTGTATACTTTGTATATAACTGTACTAAACTGTACTAAATTGTTGAAGATTTATGAAAGATGATTACGAGAGTTGTGCCTATATACGTGCAAAGCAGAGAAGGATTTTATGAGAATCGCGGGATCGAGCTCCCTTTCGAGACTCCAGCAATCGCGGCCATTTTGTCCACACTTCGATCCTCTAGCTAACTCGCGACTATATACTTCGTCGTTTATAATTCCATCGAGGAAAAACGAAGTTTTCCGAGACTCGTTACGCAACGAAGTATGTCTGAGTCACCCAAATTATTGAACAACTGTTCAATGTGTACGGTGATGTCACCTTTAAAATGTTTTTTAGACATTGCGTAAAAGAAAAAAATTATCTCCACCTCACGGTGGCTCTAACAGAGTTAACAAACGAGAAAATTTCGTAACGAACCTCGTTATTCGAATTAGAATTTGCCCAACTCTGTAATTCGCAATATCTTTTAAACTTCGACAGTCGCGACAATTTGTATGCTTCTACCGGCGGCTGTCGCGATAGCCGCTATCTTCTTCGATTCCAATTTTTCTTGTAACTTCGTCCACGACTTCAAACTTAACGTTAGAGTTCCGCGCTTGTCAGGCAAAATTCGTTAGCGACGGTGATATTCTAATTGCGACAAAGGGAATTATAATCCAGCACGTTCTCGTTAACGATATTCTAAACGTGGTTCAGTGGGTCAAATTTGGGGTAAGCCTTGCCCCGATAAGTGGTACGTGAGCAAACATAACCTGTACAGCGCGATAAAAATGACAAATAGCGGCTCTTCTAGAATTACCTGCGAAGAGTCTCCGTTTCTGGGGAAATTCTCGTTTCGAGTCAGCGGGAATTTATTCGGTTATATGTGGTACCATAGAAGACTCGCGCGAGATCTTATTTCCATTTTAATATGGCGGCCTACCGCGCTTACATCGCCACCGCGATTACGTTTTTCCATTTCCGGTGGAATTTCCACTCCCTGTTGAGCAGGATTGGACCGCGATTAGCTATTTTATTTTGTTTGTGGTCACTGCGATTATAAGATTCCTCGAGTGGGGAATCCCAATATTCGAAAGAGACCTCGATCGCTCGATTCCTGACGATTGTTCCTACGCCTATGGAGGCCAGGGAATCCTTGGTATTTACGCGTTTCCGTAATGTAAGGTCACCTTGCCAGTAGTTGATCACCGGTCGCGTTTTTTAGAAATTCTCGTCGAAGGTCTAATGTCACGTGTTAATAGTCGAACGGGAGAATTTCAAAGCTTCAAGATTAGCTGGTCTACTATAAACTTTTTCGATTAATAAATTTCGGTGGTCAAACATTGGTATCGAATATCGTTCATCCGCGAAGTATACCTCCTATGTCTGTGTAGTACCTCTGTGTCGCGACGATAGCGGGGTACGGTACGTTCAATGGAGCGATAAAGCTGGATGTAAACTAAGCTTGTCACGTGACTAACATTGTAACGAAAGATCACCTTGCCAGTAGTCGATAAACGTTTGCTGATCGTTTTCTAGAGGAGAAATACACCTACAAGAGGTACTTCTACTCTAAACTAATCACAATTTCCAAGAAACAGTCCTGTACTCGTGCCTCGTGCATCGATAATCGACAGTCTCGATTTTCGAGGGTTACGCGAGGCACTATCGTACAGCTGAAGGGCCCCACAAGCCGTCCTGATGGTTCTTACCATTGAATATAATTTACTCCGTCAACTACTGGCTAGATGATCCTAACAACGCGGAGGAAACGATAAAATAAAGCAAGGGAAGTGGTCTCTCTCGTAGCGAACGCACTTCCCGCGGTGTCCTCGAATAAAAATTTCTTATCTTATATGCGGTCACGTATACAGGACCATCGTCGACGTCGATGCGTCATCGAAGACTAGTCGAGCCTACGCCTATGGCCTGGGCTGACCCATCGACTTGGCTCTAATGAAATAGTTAGGAATCGTTCGAGCGATTCCTGGAACCGAGTCGACGGATATTATCGACGACGTGAACCGATCGTATCTAATGTCATTGTATCGTTGTGTAATTTGTCAGATTTTATCGAACGAAGCGTACTGTAAAGAGCGTCCCGTGTTGAAGCTCGACTTTCTCACACGTACACACATACACAGGCACAAAACCCTGAATTTCGAGAGACCAACGGAAATTGTCGCCCAGGAATCTCACCCTATTCCCTATCAGTCTATATTCTCCTGTTTCACGGTTTTCGATCCAGAATTTTCTAATCGAAACGCTGGCGACAGGCGTGACAGCAGCTCTGACAATCGCACCTAATCCGATCGGGGTGAACACCTTAACGTCTGTCAGCGCGATACCCCGCGATTCTACTTCCGGTAGGATAACGATGTCGAAGGGAGAAAATGCTGCTTCGTCGGACATCGCGCAGCACCTGGAAGGTTCGGTCGTATCGATAACAGGGATCTTAAATAGCGGGAAACACAAGTTCGGGTGCTGCAGGATCTTTGAAACATGAAATTCCAAAACATCCAGAAATAGTTGGAAATCCTCAGGCACCCACGATATTCGATACTAGGATGTCCAGCGTATCTGGAACGTCGCGGATATCTAGAACACCTAACATCTATCTCCATTGCAATCAATATTTCGGTTAGTATGCTGTCCCTTACAATGACCAAAGTAACTTCAAGCATCGAGCGCGCACCATGTTTTAGGAAGTTTGGAGTATTCGATACTTGGTGGCACTCGAGATACCCAATAACCCGAATTTCCAAGTATAATTGAACATCCAAGGGGCATGAAAGTTAAGAGGGAGACGAGAGCCGCGCGCGAGAGACCGCAATAAATTCATAAACCACTCGACGATGTTATCTTCCACGTGTTGTCGGTGTTAACGAGGTCGCAGATTCAAGACTTCGTGCCCGTGATTCGGTTCGGCACTTCAGTCAATTAAATTCACTCTCACGAGGACCGAGCGCGGGCATCGTCGCGTCGTCGAGGAACGCGAGAACACGAAGTACGGTCAGAATTCACCAGACGGATCGACAAGTCAGTCGGGTCAAGGAGCCCCGTTTCCTCGGATCTCCGTCCTCGTCTGTAATTCCGTCTTTCGTCAAACGCCACTTATCTACCCGTCTGCGTACCTAGTCTCTTATCTCGTATTATCTATATATTCCTGCTGTCTCACGATCGAGCTTTGCTTACTGTTGGCCAACGAGAAATGTTCCGCGATCTCATCCTCTTACGTCAGTCTATCATGGCATCAATTGACCTCGGAGAACCTCGATTACTCATACGAGCGTTAGACGGGAGAGTTTACAATCGATGTAAATATTGTAACGATGTACTTTTCTTTCTACTTCAAACGTATTGAATTATCCATCGTGGATCGATGTCGCGTGAACTTTTCGAGATGAAAGTCTCGGCCATCATAAAATACCCATCAGCCGGGACGATCTGATTATCTCCAGAGATAAAGACGTTTCAGCTTCTCGCGACGAAGCACTCGAGTGGACAGCCTTGTCTAGAGATCGTCAATCCAGGCTTTATTCGTGGTTTGATCTAAAAATAAGTACGAGAACCTATCGATTTCGAATTTTGTACGCGTATCTACTCATACTTCGAGTATTTTTACACGTGTTTTCAAGCTTTAATAATCGTTCGATGTCAGGTTATATTCTATTGCGTCGAAGAACATAAAGAACAAGTCGTTATGAAGTTAAGTACTCGCAACCTTGCGGGTAGTTTTCACCCTTTAAATCTGTCTGTACAAAAATACGTGGTGTCTAATATTTTTCGATCGTACCGTGTTCCTCGTTAGTAATATATTCATTCTATTCGAACATATTCTCAAAGCTAATTCTCCATACAAGAAAAAACTACTTGTTTCAAAATTCTAAACCAGGCTACCTCTTTAAAATCGAACCGAATGAGAACACTTTGCTTTCGTGTACAAGTTTCTAAGTATCGGTTCGCTGGCCTCCAACCGAGTCCCGATTCTTCGAACCAGGCCCGATATTGCGATCCCCCACTCCCAGCATCGCATAATTAATTTTTGTCCATCGATATTCCGCGTCTGTAACTCTTTCCAAGAGGGCGGAAGTTAATATCGTGCCCAGCTCCAGGTTATCGGTTTTTCCTAAAAACGAGACGTGAAATATAGAGGGCATAGCTGCCTTCATACATTCATCGCCGTAGGAACCCTGCAGAACTCGTATCATAAAGTGGACGGAAGATCGTTTGGGACCGAAACAAACGCTCTCTGACCTATTTCATCTTTTTAGCCGGCGACTGACTTGCGACAGAACGCTGTAATGTAACTGCTCGGCATGAATTTTAAGCCGACGACTGACTTGCAACAGAATGCTGTAATGTAACTGCTCGGTACGAATTTTACGGTTCGACACCAACGTTACATTACAAGGTCGTTTTTGGAATCACGAATGCTCGCTTCGAACTCTCGGTTGAATTCTCTCGCAATGCTTCCTACTCAGTTCAGTGAAAAGTAGACGATCAAAGAGGTTCGTCAAAAAACCGACAGACCAGTGGACCACGGTCGAGAGCGAACCGAGCGCAGGAGGCCGTCCAGACTAAGCGAATGCTCGCGTTACATTATAATGTTCTGTTGCAAGTCAGTCGCCGGCTTAACGCGAGCATTTGCTTAGTCTTAACGGGCTAGCGAGCAACTAAACGAGCCGGTCTTGAGTTCGGTTCGCGCTAGTAGGAAGCATCGAGAGATAATTCAGCCGAGAGTTCGAAGCGAGCATTCGTGATTCCAAAAACGACCTTGTAATGTAACGCTGGTGCCGAACCGTACAAATCGTGCCAAGCAGTTACATTACAGCATTCTGTTGCAAGTCAGTCGCCGGTTTAACAATAAGCGAATGTTCTCGTTACATTACAATGTTCTGTTACAAGTTAGTCGCCGGCTTTACATAATCCCTACGATATGTCTAGATCGATGTTCATTTTCGCTAACAAAGGTTCAACTATATCCCGCGCTTTCCTACCGAAAAAAAAAACTTGTATTTCTGTTGAGAAACGTTCCGTAACCCGACACATGACGAACGATGATAAACGATCGCGAACAATTCCCGATCGAAACATAGAGATCGATCCATCATTTGCGTCGAACATTTCCATCGTGACGAACCGAGACGGTTCACACGGGGAAACGAACGTGCGCGCTGACAGACGGTGAAACACCATGAAACAATAAAGATTCGCTAGTCATTTACGCGGCGATGGCCGCTCCTCGATAGTTTACGAAACGATCGCCTGCGACGCGATTTACTACTCGAAACAATTTTTCTCGGAGTAATTTTTTCATGTATATTTTCATGTCCCTTTCGTTGGGGGAGGCGTCACGTTTTTTCTTATCGCCGCGACTTCCTCTTCCGTGATGCGCGCCATCAGGGTCGCTGTTTCGCGCCATTTTATCATCCTCCCTGTAAAATAAAAAGAAAAATATTAAAAAAACACACCGACGCAATCGCGTAACAACAAATCATTCCAAGGCTCGCTTGTTAAAATTTATAATACTTGATTTCGTGTATTAACGAACACTAAGAAAGGTATTTCTAAGTTTTAGTAAAAAAAAATGCAAAAGTATGTTAAACGAAATTTTTCGACGTTAATTAATGGCGCGACGTACAGAGGGAGGTCGTGCGTTTCCTTTTCAGCTTCCTATCTCCCTCGTGACGACTCTTTTTCGATTGATGTATGTTCGTACTTTTTACGCACGATGTAAACGCACCTCTAACGCAAAACAAAACCCTTTTTTCATCAGTGTGATCTATTCAGAAATGCGAACGCAACCGTCACACGTTTCTCAAGAAGTTTTGAGGATATACATATATATACTAATGTACTTAAACCATCTGTGAGTCTGCCTCGTCTTTTATAAAGTTCTTGCTATATTCAACCGATTGTGGTTTTTATTTATCGTTACCTACCCTTGTAGAGCTAATTGTAAGTATCCTTTAATTCGTTACTTATCTCTAGACTGCGGATTTTTCTGCAAAATAACATCTTGGCAAACGCGGCTACAAAAATTGAACCTAAATAGGAATTTATTCTGCAAATATTACAATATGAACTTTATCCTCCATATTTTTTATATTCTTGCATACTGTGCGCGTTTTGTAGTTTTGTTGCACATTCGAATTCCCTATAAATGCACAAAAATCCGCAGTCTACTTATCTCAATATCAATGTCATTAAAATTTTAACGAACACAAAGCTATCAGATTATACGATAACACGAAAGACCAAATTTTCTCTTGTAACAATAAAAACTTATTCTTAGATCATTGACCTTTTTATTAGGTTGTCCCAAAAGTTTCTTTCGCTTTATTTATAAGTAATACATGCACAATATTTTATGTTTTATGTTACATCACTGAATTGTGCACGATTCATTTTGCTCCATTACTGTTACAATATGAATATCTATGAAATTATAATTTCTATAGATTGAACAATCTATAGATTGTCTATTTATATAAACACGACCACATAAAATAATTGAGTGCAATTCGCGAAAAAAACTTTCGGGACAACCTAATAAATGGATTGCCCGATAAATTTGCTTTCGATTATCTTGTGCTTTCTTGCATGGTTCACGACTGTAATTACACGCATTACTATCACTCGTGACCGTTGCGACACAATACAAAACGGTCACAAGAGACATCGACCCCCAAGATATCTTCGTCTATGATTACATCAAGGTATTCGAAACTGACGCATCGTTACTCCGTTGAATGCTGCATCGATCACAGATACGCGAAACGGTGTACTATGATTACAATAATTGACCTGCCACGATGATTGTGGTAATTGACCCGCATATATGGAACGATAAACTATCGTACTGGAGTGCACAATCTGAAAGAGAATGCAAAGTTCAACATGAATAAAATCTTTTAATGAAAAACAAAATTATCATGCGTGAAATAATATTCCGCGAATTGTTAATTAACGCAAAACTGACCGCGAAAAAATAGATTCTACATTTAATATACATACGCGATGTGCTTGTATAAACCTCATATAATTTTAATCGTGTAATTTGAAATCTTAGGATATTAAAAACAAAAGTTATACTGTTTTCTTTCGTTCGTTGAATAGAAATATAAAAATAAAAAGTTTCTAGAATCATACACCTCGTTAGGACACGTCTCTAAACTTATATATATTGTATATCTAAAAGTGTATCGACAACCTTGACAGAATAAATTGACAACTGCATGCGTACTCGAACGATAGTTAATCGTCGAAAAGGATAGAGACAGTCAGAGACAGACGACAGTCGTGAGTCGAGCTGCGGCCGTTGATCGATTTGTACGTCAGTTAACGTTCCGTAGTTTGCCACGTTGTTGTCACTGTGTTTGCTCAACAATTTCGATCACGCAGTCGCGAACTTCGAAAGTTATATACGTATCCGTCAAATAATTGTATCTATCGGCAATTATCTCGTGGCTGTGAAATTTTGTCGGCGGTGGGTTATGTTTTCCGTGAAGAGGAAAAAGAAAAATGTCTTGAAACGGTGCTAAAACACGGCTACGAAATTCCTTTGAGACTGAAGAACAATTTTATAAAAATATGTACGTGGAAAAAGAGCTAGTGACAACGTATAATTCATCGCGAACACCGAAACAGTATCGAATGACAACAGAATTGCTGACTGCATCAAAAAATTGAATTTCTTTTTTTCCTGCAACTGGCACATATGCTTAATTAGTGAAGTCGTTGCGTAAGAGTTTTGGGGAACATTAAGTATAAGGAAATAAAAGTCTTTTACGCTATTGTGCTGCCTGTACCACTACGTGTCTTCAAATATAAGAGCCTAAAAGTGTTCCTAAAACAAGACAAACAACGGAGAAGAGACGGGAAAATACACATGAAGGTCGATTGACCTGTGTGGATCCACTGCTGGTGAATGACAACGGAATCAAAATGTTGAGTCAACGATTGAGCAATAGAAGATTAATAGTGGACCTGCTCGCGCTATTGTTTGGTCTTGGTGCATGGGTTGGAATAAATGGTATATATGTTCAACTACCTCTTCTAGTAAACAATTCTCCAGAGGGATGGAGTCTTCCAGCATATATGGTCATGCTAGTACAATTCGCCAACTTGGGACCAATACTTTACACGATGTATATAAAGTAAGCACTATAGAATTTGTTAAAGCTTTCATATCTTCAATTATAATAATATTGTTTTCTCTTTCAGGTACAGTCCGTGGGTATGTGATAAATACATTACGTACTCACTTCTAGCAGCTGCATCATTGGCTACATTTATATTAGCATTTGTATATCAAAAAACCTCTGTAGTATTTGGCAATGAGCATTCAACTGCTCTTTTGTCCCTAATGTTTGTAACAGCCGCCGTTGGATGTACAAGTTCAGTTCTTTTCATGCCTTACATGAGGAACTATAGAGAAATTTATTTAGTATCGTATCTCGTAGGAGAAGGGCTCAGTGGATTTGTGCCAAGCGTAGTAGCATTAGTCCAAGGGGTTGGTGGAAATCCAGAGTGCTTGAATACTACTAAACCTGACTCAAACACTATAGAATTCACACCTTATTATCCAGAGCCCAGGTTCACGTGTAAAATATTCTTCATTTTCATCGGTGCCTTATTGTTCTTGTCTTATTTAGCTTTCTTAGGATTAAATAATCTATCTGTTGCTATTAGAGAACGCGTGAAACATCCAGGGAGTATGGAAACATTGCCCACAGACACAAAAGCACCACCAAGTTATAAAACTAACTCTGGTTGGGCAATGTCCAAGCAAGTGTATACATATTTATTAATTATGATGGCAATTGTTTCTTTCCTAGGTAATGGTACATTACCGAGTCTTCAGTCGTATTCCTGTTTACCATATGGGAATATCGCATATCATTTAACTGTTACACTGTCGTCAATGGCTGGCCCACTAGCGATGTGTTTAGGTTTTGTTATTAAAGTACCAAAAATAAGTTTTCTCACTGTCCTCCTCGTAATTGTTACGGTACTCTCGGCTTTCGTTTGCGTTTTGGCTGCGAAATCGCCTACTCCGCCTTTACAAAACACATGGGTAGGAGAACTGCTAGTAGTTTTGTCGTGGATATTAATTAGCGGTCTAATAGGATTTATAAAATTAGGTATTACGACATTGTTTAGACCCGATCCCGGCAGGGGTCTATATTACACTGGTGTCGCAACTCAAGTTGGGTCATTAATTGGAGCAATAGTCACTTTCGTTTTGGTTAATCATGCAAAAGTATTTCATTCTTATTCTCCGTGTTCGATGCATACAGGACAATAACATTTCACATAGAATACAAAATAGTCCAATTGAAAAAAGTATATAAAATTTTAACGTATACAAAACATTTTAGTTCCTATGAGTAATGACTATTGTTTGAAAAAAGAGAGGATATAATTACTACTTGTTCCAGTAATGTGGATAAATTTAGAGAATGTAAACTTTCACGACTAAGGCTGATCCCTACTAGCAGATTTACACAAATAGGAATCAGTTTAGTTTTTATCAATTTATTTTAATTGACAAGCTAAATCATATATAATAGTTAAAAGTCCATGTACATTATTAGTATTAAAAGTACTTATACCGTGATACATCAGGGAAAAAGATAACGTGTAAATCTGTAAGAAAAAACAATTGTTTGACTAGACTTAAGTAAGACATAATGCATTTTTACTTAAATTTTGTATACGTATTTCAAAGAATTTGGACTTGGCATAGGTGAACGAATGTACTTAAAGAACAATCATACATTTAGGCACAAATATATTGTACATGACAGTCAATTGCATTTTCAAAACTCTCAATTAAAAAAATATACAATTCTACCATGTTATTCATTGTGAAAAGTTTATCTACAATAAACATGGAGATATTGGTACCTCAATAAGTGCTATAGAATCATCAGTTCAGTTACAATGACATAATGCTTTATTAGATACATGAGTTCATGTAGAGAACCACTTTTCTGAATGCTCATATTTCAAAGAGACTTTAACTGCCACTTTGACAATTTAAGGATTTACAAAGTATCAACTTTGTTGCTTTATCTGATAAATTTTATTGTTTGGATTAAGCAGAAGTCGAAGGTAGAAGCCATATCATCTCATTGCATCAGTATCTTTATTAGAAGTGTACTAAATACTGTAGAATTTTAATCAGTAATATTTTACTGTATTAAACTGTTGTGTTATTAGTGTTATATATCAAAAGAATTTATATGAAGATATTAATTTTTGCAAGATATGTAAGTTTATGTAGTGTAAGATTATTTATCTAATAGTATCGTAATCATATAAATTTGTTATTGATTATTATTCAGCAAAATGAGGAATGTTTCACAAGATTTAAGTAGATGCAAGGGAAAAAGTCGCATCGCTCTGCATCTTCTTATAACTATATTTGGCATATCTACTTGGACTGGTATCAATGGAATATACGTACAAGTACCAGTACTTATCAATACGTCTCCGGAAAGCTGGACTTTACCAGTTTACCTAGTATTAGTGATACAGGCTGCTAATATCGGACCTTTGCTTTATACAATTTTACAATACTTTCAATGTAAAACAAACGAGTCCTGGTGGATATTGTGTTTGCTAGTTTTAGGAACTTGTGCAATGGGTCTTTTAACGTTTTTCTATTCCGAAAAGACTGTTATTAACGAAACAGAACATAGCGTGATACTATTTACTTTAACATTCTTCGTTGCTCTATTAGGCTGTTTCAGTTCTGTATTATTTATGCCATACCTTCGCAATTTTAACCAAAGTTTTTTGGTATCATTTTTCATAGGTGAAGGATTAAGCGGCGTACTGCCGAGTATAGTTGCTCTAATACAAGGAGTTGGAGACAATTTAGATTGTACAAGTGTAAAAAACGATACAACAAATTCTCCTAACTCAGGTTTGAATTTTTCTCCAAACGATTATTTCCTTTTCATTTTTATTATTTTATTTTTATCTCTAACTGCATTTATTATTTTGGAATATTCTCCATTTGTGCAAAACGCTAAAAATCTTGATAGATCTATTGATTGTATATGTAATGAAACGAGAACAAGTATTTCTAATTGTCCTAATGATATACAAAATGTGAAACATTCTTCATTAAAAGGAAATAATAAAGATTTGGTTGTTCATAATCACAATGAAGGTCTAATGAAACAGACGCGATATTATTTATTCATATTACTCGCTATCTGTTACTTTTTTAGCAATGGCTTCTTTCCTAGCATACAATCATACTCTTGCTTACCATATGGAAATGTAGCATATAAATTATCAATTACATTATCTCAGTTTGCAAATCCACTTGTATGTTTACTAGCATACTGGTTCACAGTATCAGACATAAAAATTATAAATTACTTGTCTATAGTGTGTTTAACAGTTGGAAGCTATGTCACATATTTAGCATTAATGTCTCCTACTCCTCCACTGCACGATACCAAACTTGGTATTTTTCTAGTTATAGTGTCGTGGACAGGTCTAATAGGGTCTATTTCTTATTTAAAGTTGTCTATTGTATCGATATTTAGAAACACAATGCTTCCCAAAATACTCTTTAATGCAGGTGCAGTTATGCAAATAGGTTCTGCAAGTGGCGCAATATTTTCATTCATAGCTATTAATTTTACCGAGTATTTTAAAATGCCTGATAATTGTGCTCTAAAAAATGAATAAAATTATAAATGTTGCATCTTTGTTCATTTTCATGAGCATTCATAAGTGAAGCCAAAGATACATGTATTTTTACATTGCATTAAGTAATGAGAACTGATGATTGGTATATCACTCTGAATAGAGATACAGACACATGTATATATATATATTTTATTCATAGGGATATTTTTGTAATCGAGCATGTGTGTCTGAATTTACAAATACACTTATAATAAACACAACTAATAATGTTGTATGAATACTACATTGACTGCGCGTCACTTGCATTTGAGTAACTTGTGAGTTTAAAAAACAATGTATGATTCAAGTATGATTAATATCTAATTTTATCTCAAATATTGCATTCTAATATACTGTATGTACGTACTCAAGATAAACTGATTACACATTTTGGTCGAACAATCGTTATTTCCTCCTTATGGAAAATGATGGAATTATCTATAAATTACATCAATTGTGAACTCCAGATAAAGCGCGATACCATTCCAAATAAATATGTATGTAAGAATTTTGAAAATTAATATATTCTGTTTATCAGGAGCGCATGATACTATTGTTCTTGTAATTTGAGATTGTTAATTGCTTTATAATGAATGTTATACCGATTGGGTACAAAGTTATTTATAAATGTAAAACGCGCGCGATATTTTGTGGATTCAAAACAGTGTTATGAAGCGATCTGTGCTTTAATTAAATGATTTATAGTTCAACAGTGTTCTATTTCATCCATTCACCTACATTTTTATTAAAGTAAAGTCTTACTTTATTTGCATACCATGTAAAACATTACTTGAGTAGTATTCAAGTACTTTTTCATAAATGTTTCATTGGTGAAGAGATTCGGAACTACAAATTAAGACGAAAATAAAAAAAAAACTAAATTATATTTAAGACTCTATAATTTTCTAATTTATAAATACAGACGAGGTATAAAATCGATTTTTCGCTTTATAGAAGTATAATTTTGTATCACTTCCAACGTTATCGACTAAGATTGGTGTAAGATTTCAGTGCCGCCAATGGCAAGAATAAGAACTAAGCGTTTCGAAAGTTATTTGAAATATATCAAGATTCATATTCGACATTTGCGCGGGAACCAAGCACATACCCCAACGACACATTACTTGCCGTATTTACAGCATTATCGAGTACTGGTAATGAAAATAATGCTTCTCGTAAAACTACAATGTGTAAGGCACACAACTATTCGATCAAAAAACAGTAAAAATGTACTAAAATGACTAATTACCCCTTGATGAAATTTCGTTTGCACGTTGACTGTCATGGCGTCGAGATGCAACACTCGCGTTCGAATTTCAATCGCTTTCAATCTACAGACAAAACGACGAATTAATGTAAGCTTGTTGAAACAAATACAGCTGTACTATAACTAAACAAGAATCGAGTTGAAAATATCTCGCGGAAGACTGTATCTAACTTAAAAATGTCAACGACAATTGACACTCAAGCGGCGAAAAAAAAGTGTAAACCGGTACCAATTTTCTCGCGATATTAATTGAATTTAGTATTAAATATCTATCATTATTGGATAAAAGCATTAACAGAGGATGACGATTAGATTAGAAGCGAATATGTACAAATGAAGGACACTCACCACAATACACACGTCCTTCAAAGCGTCCTATCACATTCATTGCCGCGGAACAAATGACGACCCTTTCGGATTGCGTACTTAGTGGTGGTAACACTGATCAAAAAATTTTTAGCAGTTCAGCAATTCACTGCTAAATGGCAGCACCAGAAATCAAATTCTGTTTTATCGACGTTTATACGTTACTTATGAATACTTATTGCTTCAACATTTCTATCGATTAATTGTTTTTTTTTGGTAATTTCGTAACTTACATAAATAGCTATTTTTTTTTTGTACTCTATCTATTCTAGAGATTTCCGAGAATATCTAGAATGTCATTGTTTATAAAAAATAAGTTAATAAATTACAATTTTACATAGTTTTTTTGGAAATAGATCAGTGTACGAATACTTTCCACATCCACTGTATATAAAGTTTTATTATCAAAAGTACCAGAATATATTCATTCTACAATATAGGTTATCAATCCAATGAGAAAATGTTTATGAATGTTTTAAAAATGTATTCTGCCTCATATAACCTATATATAACATATTTTATGTAAACGACCAAATAACAAATATATTAAAGTGCTCTCATACGTAATTAATAAAGTGTTCGTTCATTGACTTGATAACCTCTCACGAAGCTAATAACCACGTTTAGCTTTTCAATTACGTGAAAACTGGAAGCTCATCGAAAATAAAGGGCCTCATTTCGACGTGCCGTGTTCTTTTTAAATTGTATGAGTTAATAGAATTCTGTGAAATTCTTTTTAAAATTTTTCCCATTCCTGGTTGTCAGCCCTGACTTAGGAGTCAGTCTCAAAATGCACTTAAACGGAGATAGTGAGTCATGCGCTCTGGTGCAAGACTGCAACGAGCACGAGGACCAAAACGGTAAATAAGAACGTAAGTGAAAACACCCGTTACTTTTATCTGTTCTCATTGCGCGTTGAGTCATCAGAAACTGAGCATCGATCGAATGATAGTGTTTACAATCGCGACGTTCAATACTGGCCACTCTAGAATAAAATGTGCGATGATGAACAAAGCTCCTCTCAAATTGAGGATGATAAAACGGATTCTCAGTTATCCTTGTTGGATTTTCCCGTTGAGGTATGTATTTGTAAATTATGCACATACTCGTGCACTAATAGCTTTCGTTGTTTAAATAATACCTAAAGAGCGAGAACATTGTAATTCCACAATTATTAAATTTCCTAATAAAGTTTGCCAATTTCGATAAATCTGTACGACTGTAGTAAATGATCTCAGTACAATGATTATTAAACGGAGTATTGTTATATCTGGTGTTTACAAACGTTAAAATAACTGTCATCGAAGTATGTGGTTTCGATAAAGTTTTTATGAAAAATAAACTTGTAGATATCTTTGAAATAAAAGTATGAAGCTGAATAAATTCGGTTAGCAATGACCTATAACGTGTACCATTAAAAAAACAAGTAGAACATTCCAAGAATTTTATCAAAACGTCAGCGATCCATGGTCGCCATTTTTAAATGCCTGTTCTTGTATAGGGTATTTAAAAATACGACTGTATTTAAATAATGCACGTATTAAAATGTTCTTAAATGCTTTTTCTTGTAAGCAAATTTAATCAACATGACTTAAGAAATAACTATGTAGTTTCTGGTAAAATAAATCTAAAATGTTTCTACGGAGATAGAAGATAATTCTAACACAATGTTATCGTTTTATTTCAGATATTTCTTCATATCTGTTCTTTCCTAGATGCCTCTACTTTAGTACATGGCTTGAGTTTAGTGTGTAAACAGTTTTATGAGATTTTAAGCAGTGATTCCCTGTGGAAAGTGAGAATCAATCATATTTGGCCAAATACGGGTTACCCAGTTTTGCCTCCTGGTTAGCTCAAATTGATAGAACCTTGCGCCTTGCACGACCAATCATTCTGTAAATAAATAAAACACCATCTATTTAATGAATGCGACAACTAACCATTGTACTTCAAGTGTTTTATGTATCAAGTTTTATTGTACATAATATAGCTTTTAAGTATTTAACACAAAACCTAATTTTCATGTATTGCATTTGAAAAATGGTACGCGTGGTTTACAATGAATTATTAGTTTAATTAACAGCAAGATAACACTGAATGAGTAGTTATATAATGTCATATTACCTTCTTACTTGAAATGTATTCTTACACACTGATAGCAATTGCTAACTGTCTCATTTATATATTGTTCATTTATGGATATGTTATTTCATTTAGCTGAAGACGATGAACTGTTTTGGAAATTATCATGTGTTGCATTAGAAAAACAAACTTCATTATGGAAGAAGGAGGATTCGATGGAGAGAATATCACTTAGTAATTTACAGTACAGTACCATTGATGGATTGCTGTTAATGCAGGTAGGTATTAAATTCTATCTAACTTTATATGAAAATTTGTGTTAGAGTAAATTAGTATTATTTCTCTGTCAAATTAGGATGGACACATTTGTATATCAGGAGCAAGAGATCGATCCTTGGCATGCTGGAAGCTTCCTACAGAAGAAAATGAAAAAGAAAGTGTTATGTGTAAAGAATTAGCCCATGATGGATGGATTTGGGACCTAACAGCAATAGACAATACCATTTATAGTTGCAGTTGGGATCAAAGCATTAAAGCATGGACGCTTACCAATACTGGTTTTTACCCCCTCAAAACTTATCAGATGTACATGAGAACCAAACTGGTTATTTTCGCTGCTCACGTTATGGGAAGGTCGAGCGAGGAAGGCATGAAATTTTATCTTTAAGAAATAGTTTAGTCACATATTGTTACAAAACTAGCATATTAAGTTGCAGACACTATACGTAAAGATTTTTCTACAAAAGGAACTCAAGCAAAGAAACGGCTTAGTATTTTTTTGCATGCTTTCGCTCGATCTGCCAAAAATGACTATGCAAAATGCTGCATCTTTCCAAAAAGTTATAATGTTTTACATAAGCATTAAATATTTTCTAGGGACGTCTTAGGTGCTCTGTTGTGTATTACGTCATGTCCTGAACTAGCCACTTTTGCTACGGGTTCATATGGTAGAACTATATTAGTATTTGATCAGAGATTGGGCAACCATCCTATTGCAAAGTACCGACCACATAAAAGAGCTGTTATTAGACTAGCGATGAATTCTCAATTTATTTTGTCGGCCAGCGAAGATAAAACAGTCGGTATATGGGATCAAAGGGCGGGAAGAATCATGAAAAATGTTACTGTAAGGAACTTACAGTAAAAGTCTTAGAAAAAGAAGTTTAATTATTCTTAGTGGATATATTTCAGATTTCACAAGAATCATTTCCCATGAGTATGTGCATGCAGAGAGATATGGTCTACGTAGGAGATGGTAGTGCAAAGTTGCACGTATTAGATCCAAAGAAAGACTTTAAACCAGTTAAGTGTTATCCTACTGAACACAAGAAAGGTATCAGTGGTGTTCATGCAGGACCTGGATGTTTAATAACAAGTTCCACGGATGAGACAGTAAGAATATCCAGTCCTACTGATCCTCCGCAACACCTTGTCACTTTGAAATCGAATTATGGCGAAGTGGCTAGCGTAAGTATCTTATATAATATTGATTTATGTAAGATTTGTATAGGAGTGTATCTTATTCTTCAGATTGATTACTTGAACGACGTCCTTGCTGTTTCTGGTACAGAGGGGATTGAAATTTGGAGACCAAAATCAGGGACGCGATGTGCATAAAGATGTCAATAAATTAATGGTTTCTACGAGCATTTTCATTCGACATGCTATATATTATAGTAATATTTAATAAAAAAAATCTATTAAATAAGAATTAAGTATATATAGATGCAAATAAAAATTTAAGAAACGCTTTTCTAATCGTATTGTTAACTACTTACACTACTATTGTCATTGGTCATTTCTACAGAAAAAAAGGGATTAAATTAAGGATACAATTCATACGAATACTCTCGGATGATTAGATGACATTAGTGAAATAAAAAAATACTTTTCGTAGTATTTAATTCTTATTGCAAAATACCCATAACAAAATTGAACGATAACCTATAAAACTACTTTCGATCGATTACTTATTTAATAAAGATTTCAAATCATAAAATGGAATTACATTTCATATCGAATGATTTAAATTCGTCTAAAACGAATAATAAATAACAAATGAGCGTATAGCGATCTATTGTCAACGGTTATTTTCAATAGTTAACTCTCGATCTATTCGTTCATATTTCGACATATTTCGTTCCATCATTTAAATTCTAATACCTATTCAACGAATAACGTACAAAAATGTGTTTATCTTCCGCTCGTTGTTCGAAACTTATTATCTAGATAAGAATTTCGCCTATCTCCGATTCGAAATACAATTCAAATTTCACCCAACTACCAATGCGAGAATCGAAACAATAAGCCGATCGATGTCTCTGCCATCGCCGGAAGTGTTCGTCTGCTATGCCCCGAGAACGTTCAATTGTCTGTCCGTATGAATCCCCGAAAAACCGTATATCGTCGCGAAACAATGTTAAACGAACGTGTAATAGCCATCAATGATTAATTAAGAATCCACCGTTGAGATCCAACGTAAATCCAACTTGGTATTCTGGTGTCGTTAGCCGGTGTCCCAATGCTTTCGTGGCGCGGTGGTGGGGGTAACCGTGGGGAGCTTCCGTTTATCTGCGAGGTCAGAGAAGGCTGGCTGCGTTCAGTGGTGCTGTTGAAAAACACGATGAAAATGGCGTGGCAACCGCAAGAGGAAGGACTTAGACAAATTTTAACGCTTCTCAAGGAGTCTCAGAGCCCCGATACGGCTACTCAGCGAGTTGTGCAAGAAGTATCCTTTATCGTTCGGTGTCAAACGATTTCGTGGTGCGTTAAATGCGTACGAGAGTTTCGTTCCCGGTGAGTACACCCGCGACGCGGTAACGCAAGTGAAGCGGGTAAGATAGGTCGATCGAGGGGCGTGCTTTTGCCCTGTAGAAGCTCCCCGTTTCGCGAGCCTTCGTCGAATTCCATGGAGGAACCCTTAACGGCTGATATCGATGAATATTTCAAGGCTACTCGTTCGGTTGGGCCCTGGGAACGTGAAAACGTTCGGCGCGCTTTTGCACAGCCTGTCACGGGGGACCCTCTTTTTTGTCATCCACGGGCTCGATTGAAAAGATGTTTAGACACCGTATTCGCGACGAATACGAATCCCTGTACAAGCACGCGTGTCCTATCACGCTATCGTGTACGTGGATTTTTTTCGAACGCCGTCCAGTGGCTCGATATTTAGGGTTCGTGGGATAATACCGACCGTAGTTGCTAACTTTTTCACTAATAACACGTGAGCTATACCCTAAGCGCTAACATTTACGTTTAGCTACAAAAATCTATGCGCACGTGCAAAATACATGAAAATTCATTTGAAAATTGCATGAAAATCGCTTATTTTTGTTGGAAATAAACTACATTCATACAACTAGTTTTTTATCTTTATTTCTAGAAAGTTGTAGCTATATGAAATTCTTAATTACGAAAGTATATTATGTAGATCAGTGTTCTTTTTTTCAATTCTTTTATGTTTATGTCACATTTCATAAGGAAATGCGTAAAACTTGTAGTGTATATTATAGATCGAAGGAAGATTCTTAATTTTTTAGCTAATGACACAGCTTTAGACGTAAGGCATTAAACGTAAATAATCATAGTAACAGAATTAAAAATTACAAAATGTCAAAATTTATTGAATGTGTTGCCAAGCATTTGCGTCATAGTGGTTATGAATCATTGATGTAGGATATTAAAGGTACAACAAAAGTTTGCATATGTTCCATCCAGGATTCGTTCCCTGGTGTATTTATTGGAATATTTTAATTCTATCTATTATAGAATATGTACTATCGAGTGATGGAAAGTCAAAGTGGAAAAGAAATTATGAATATTTCAAGTTATATGAATTTTCTTCTTATCAAGGTTCTTATTTGTAGATACTATGTAAGAAATCTTAACTTATCAAGATATTTAAAAAGAACAGTTACAATTAAAAGTTCAATATGATTAAACATTTAGTATTTTTTTTCAATTGTTTTGTTATTTATATTAGTGTACATTAACATTGTAGCAGAGTTTGTTCTTTTATCACCATGATAATTGTAGTAGTTATGTCAAATAGACATGCTCCATGAAATAGTATGTGCAAATGTTAGTAAATATTTGCTGTGGATTATAGCCAACATGGCACTAGTACAGTTACAGAAATATAAATTTGATGTAGACACAGTTATTTTTCTTGTGTTATATTTGTACTGTGTATATGTATGTAGCCAATTAAATATGGTTGTGATGGTTGTAAAAATTGTATACATTTGTTAGGAATTTATTGCACATGACTTATGTACTCTATATCGCGTCCCTTTCTTATGTATCTAATACATATTGGGCATAATTGTACAATATCAATTTCTGTGTTTGTTACATAATAGTAACAATTATACGAGTTCTTTTTGGGCTCTTTTGTTCTACATTTCCTTAACAATTCTTTCTCAGAAATTGGAAGAATTAAACAAGTTTCCAGACTTCAACAATTATCTTATTTTTGTTTTAGCAAAACTCACATCAGAGGGTATGTATTTTAAATATTACTTTAATGCATTGAAATTTATTGTTGTCTACTATAATAAATTTTAATTTGTATGTTTCATTTCAAGATGTACCCACGAGGTCTCTTAGCGGACTGATACTGAAGAACAATGTTAAATCAAATTTTTGTAAGTTTTTACCAGAAGTTAAAAATTTTATCAAACAAGAATGTTTATCGGCCGTTGGGGATCCCTCGCCCCTAATTCGAGCAACCGTTGGTATTTTAATTACTACCATTGCATCCAAAGGTAAATTTTGTATTACCAACAAAAAATTTAGTGTTTATAAGTATGCATTCACAACGTTATAACGAATCCTTTTATTGTAATAGGTGAACTGACTTTATGGCCAGAGCTGCTACCCGCGCTTTGTCAAATGTTGGATTCGCAAGATTTCAACGTCTGTGAAGGCGCATTTGGCGCTCTTCAGAAAATATGCGAAGATTCTGCAGACATATTAGATTCGGATGCGCTTAACCGACCTTTGAACGTTTTGATCCCAAAGTTCCTGCAATTTTTCAGACATTCTAGCCCTAATATTAGATCGCATGCCGTTGCCTGTGTTAATCAGTTCATTGTTAACCGTACGCAGGCTCTCATGATTCACATAGATAGCTTCCTGGAGAATCTCTTCCATTTGGCTAATGACGAAGATGCCGATGTTAGAAAAAATGTTTGCAGGTACAATTATGTCTTCTAATTGAAAATATAATAACGAAACTTGAATGATATGACACTCATTATATTGTTCGCTGCAGAGCGCTGGTTATGTTGCTCGAAGTTCGAATGGATAGATTAATACCACATATGCACAATATAATAGAGTATATGTTAATGAGAACTCAGGATCCTGATGAAGGAGTCGCTCTGGAAGCTTGTGAATTTTGGCTTTCATTGGCAGAGCAACCAATTTGTAAAGAAGCACTTGCACCACATTTAAGTCGTTTAGTACCTGTATTGGTAAGTAATCGTAAAGTACTGGGCTCGAGTATACGACAATCTATATAAATAAATTTATTATTCATTTTTATAGGTAAGGGGTATGAAGTACTCTGAAATAGACATAATACTCCTAAGGGGGGATGTAGAAGAAGACGAAATGATCCCAGATAAGAAAGAAGACATCCGACCAAGATTTCATAAATCAAAAACGCACCATATGCACTATAGTTCCATCAAACACACGGATGAGAATGGTGGTTGTAACGATGAAGATATAGACGTTGAAGATGGATGCGACGATGAATCGTCGCTTAGCGATTGGAATTTGAGAAAATGTTCTGCCGCTGCATTGGATATGTTAGCAAATGTCTTCAGAGAAGAACTGTTACCAGTTTTAGTACCAATTTTAAAAGAGACTCTTTTCCACCAGGATTGGGAAATCAAAGAGTCTGGAATATTAGCATTAGGAGCTATAGCAGAAGGTTCATTTCTTACCGATTTCTAGAATCTATATTTTTTGTTTACGCGCTTTCAGTTAAAAGATCATAATACAAAATATAATCTTCTGCAGGTTGTATGGTTGGCATGATTCCACATTTATCCGAATTAATTCCATATCTAATTAATTGCTTAAGTGACAAAAAGGCGCTGGTACGCGCCATCACATGTTGGACGCTTAGTCGTTACGCACATTGGGTTTGTGCGCAGCCACACGACACGCATTTGAAGCCTTTGCTAACTGAATTACTCAAAAGAGTACTTGACGGCAGTAAACGCGTCCAAGAAGCCGCGTGTTCAGCTTTCGCGACGTTAGAAGAGGAAGCATGCACAGAATTGGTCCCTTATTTAGGATTTATTCTCGAAACACTTGTTTTCGCCTTCGGTAAGTCGGATATAAGTTCGGATATTTTTATTTCTTTTTAACGAAATTAATTACTAAATTATAACATTTTTGTTCCGCGAATACAGGTAAATACCAACACAAAAATCTTTTAATATTGTACGACGCAATTGGTACGCTTGCTGACTCAGTGGGACATCATCTTAATAAACCGGATTATATTAACCTTCTTATGCCACCGTTAATTAATAAATGGAATGTATTAAAAGACGAAGATAAAGACCTATTCCCATTGCTGGAATGTCTTTCTTCGGTTGCAACTGCATTGCGATCAGGTTTTCTTCCTTACTGCGAGCCCGTTTACAAGTGAGTTACTTTCTATTCAAAGATCAGAGTTTGTAAATTCGATCGTATCTGAACGCTTATGTGTACCTTTTTTTTCAATAGGCGGTGTGTATCCCTCGTAGAGCAGACGCTAAATCAACATATAGCAAATATGCAGAGCCCAGAACAATTCGAGGCGCCTGACAAAGATTTTATGATCGTTGCGTTAGACCTTCTTAGCGGCTTGGCGGAAGGATTGGATGGGCACATGGAACGCTTAGTAATGAATAGCAATGTAATGCAGCTATTGTATCAGTGTATGCAAGATATTATGCCTGAAGTTAGACAGAGCAGCTTCGCCTTTTTAGGAGATCTTACAAAAGCCTGCTTCCAACATGTTCTCCCGTGCATACGTGAGTCTTACACGTTCGTTTACGCAATCCATTTGTACATTACAAAATCCGCAATACCTTTGTACGAATTGAATTAACTTTATGATTATTTTCAATGTAGCGGATTTTATGCCTATACTTGGTCAGAATTTGAATCCCGAATTTATATCTGTGTGTAACAACGCAACGTGGGCTATCGGCGAAATAGCTATTAAACTCGGTAAATTTCTTTTAAAAGATATTCGGATGATGAAACATTCTGAAATGAGCCTCCCTTATACAACATGTTTCTTTTCTGCTTCGTAGGATCCGATACGAGCGCATATATTCCATTAATTTTGACTCAACTTATCGACATAATCAATAGACCAAATACGCCAAAAACACTGTTAGAAAACACGGGTGAGTAGCTGTACAATATTTACTAAACGTATAGTTTTTTTTTTTTATACAGCATAGTATATGGAGCATACTTTTAAATGGTAGGGGGTAATGCGTAGGAAAGTTACATTTTTGAGTAATGCAATAATGCCGACTACGTTACCATTGTTCACCTATATCGTAGAAGTAATGTACCTTTTCTTACACGGAAAGTTTAGGCGCAAGTCTATCTGGGACTAAAACCAGTGAGCATGGTTTTGTAGGAATACTTCGATAGTTGAAAAGTTCCTGTAAAATCATAACCACTGGTTTCAATTGAATCTATCGAAACTTGCGCCGAAGGATGTTTTCTTATTAGAAGTAAGTTCTGCACACGAGGGGAAACTTTTCATTTTAGGCATAAGTGTCACGTGTTTAACATAAATCGCAGAAACATATAGATTAGAACCGACGTTTCCGTACGTGTATTAATATCACGCGTTAAAATACGTGTATTTTATATACACAAATACATTCAACGTGTACGCGTGAATGTCCCGTGTACACATGAAATATAAACCTCATTGTGTACCTTAGGTTATAATAATCACTTAATGAGAAGTCTCCCATGTATACGAATAAACGAAAAGTCCTCGCGTTAGATGCAGCACCCGGTGGCATTTAAGTTTAGGTGTATTGCTCTGTAAATGATTTTATCAAAGGTAATAACCACACAGATTGACGACTACGAGTGGTTCCACATGACCACGCTTGCACGTTTATCAGCGGGTTAAACTATTAGTATTTGTATATTGGACCTAATTTAGTGGTGTGCGATTGCCTGCAGGCTTTATATGGCTGGTATTGCCATGAAAACTTTACTGCGATTCAGTATATACTATGCTTGCATCTAAGCCCCAGATATTGTTTCAACCAGTGTTATTTAAATTGGCCTCAGATTCACGACAAAATTTTTTAGTTTCTGTGTTTCTTGGTTGTTCTTGTTTGTATTGACATTTATTGGTAGAGATCATACTCATGTCGGTTTTACAAATCATGGGCTCGCACGCTGCTATCTAATTTTTATTATTGTTTCAGCAGCTACAATAGCACGGTATTGCCTATGTTCATTGTCGGTATTTCATATGTTCACCTCTGTTCCCACTGTCTCTATTGATTGTTAATATTAAATTGATTATTATTGATTAAATGATTAATTGCAAATTAATTGAAATTTATAAACGACAACATGTTCGCCTGAGTTGATCGTTGGTTCGCTATCAGTTTGTCTTATTGTTTGTGTTTCCGGTCACTTCACTACACTTCACTTGTCTACTTACCGAAATGAAAATGAAACCGTAGCCATAACGATCGGTCGCCTAGGTTATGTGTGTCCCCACGACGTCGCCCCCATGTTACAGCAGTTTGTCCGACAGTGGTGTGTAAATTTCTTTATTATTATATTCTATTAATTATTATATTACCTTCTATTTTTATTAGCACTTTATTATTATATATTATTCCCGATTATTCAGTACATTGCATCAGGGGCTGCTAAGAATTTTTCCGCAAGAATACTGTAGCGTTAATATACTACGTATCGAGTCCATAATGATTTTGTTTTTAAAAAAAAGAGGTAAAACCTTTTAACTACGAAACTTCGGACCCGGTTTATCCTAAACTTAGCATTAAACTTGGCCAAAGTTTTTCATAGTGTTAAAGGTTTTACATCTTATCATTTGTATGGTTTAATTTTATTGATTTGCCACCGTGCAAGTATGTTATGGGCTCTTAAATTATGCAGTTCAAGAGACTAGGGTAGGTTTACATTTGTCACATTTAGGTCTGTGTAATATTTTGGCCTATGTATTACTGCCTTGCATTGAAAATTAGAAATGTACCTTTTTTCTTTCTTTTTTTTTACATACTTTTCACTGTGTATAGGTAGTTTCAGTCAGAAGTGTCCTTTGCATGTTAACGATAACACAGTATTAATATTTGTCAGGTATATCTTCTTAGTTACATTCTTATCGTAACCGTAACTATCGCTAATGTCTCTTTATGTTTGCAATAACGAGGAATTTAACGTTAAAGAGATGTCAAATGTAAACCAAGCCTTAATGAGATTATACTATCATATGATGCCAGTCACATTATTTTAGTAAAAATGTGAAATTTTCTTTGGGCGAGGCATTTGTAAAAGGAGATCCGACGAAATTTACAAAATCATGTTTTACAGTACATTGAATTATTTTTTATTTACTCGAGGTAGTTTAAATTTTAAATTCTCAGTTGATTATTAGGCTTGTTAAATTGAACCAGAGATAAGAAATTTAAGATAGGATTGACTGACAATGTAAAAGAGATATTTATAGGAAACTTCAGCATAGGACTGACCTCAGAAAAGCCAATAAATTTGCCTCGTTAAATGTTAATTGTAAGAACCTATTTATGTATAAACTTATAGGAATGAATATTATACCAAGTGACTAGCTGTCATTTCTTGTCATAATCACATTCTTATGAATGTCATCATTTTAATTAGAAAGAAGGTACATTTATCGCGATTATGTGCCTAATACTTTTAACTCGAGACGAAATATGTTTAGTACAGCTGCTATGCAATGTGGTAGAGTTACAAATTTTATATTAAATATATATTCCTCAATTCAATTTCGTGCGAGTATACCTTCTTTGTACAGTGTGCACATCGGTCACTTGGTAATGCGTATATCTATTTTATTAGGTGCACATCTTTGCGGAGCATCAGAGACAATGAAGAAAAGGACTCAGCATTTAGAGGTATGTGTCAGATGATTACGGTAAATCCAGGGGGAGTCGTACAAGATTTCATCTTCTTCTGCGATGCTGTTGCATCTTGGATCTCGCCAAGAGAAGACCTCAAAGACATGTTCCAAAAGGTATAGAAAACCCAAACGTGGATATATATTATTTCCGTTGCTTACTGTACAGTTCAAGATACTAAAAATCCATACTCATTTTTTTTTTTTTTTCGCAGATACTACAAGGGTTTAAATCACAAGTTGGTGCGGAAAATTGGAAACGATTTTCAGATCAGTTCCCACCACAGCTCAGTGAACGACTCCATAATATGTATGGCGTCTGAGCAGCCCTCCCTAAATGCGGTAAGCTAATATTTGAGGAATTATAGCAATGAACATAGATTAATTATCGTACAAAGTAGCATCGACGTTACTAGTATAACAAGTAGTAGTCAAAGTTAGAAATATGTGCAGTCATGATTAGCCCTCGTCGATTCTATCTTCACTCCAACTATAAGTACTTCAAGGAGAGTTACAAAGAATGCCTCTGAGTGCTCACTAAGTACTTTTCACACTTCTAACCTTCCCAGCCAACATGTAGGACAATAGTACAAATTAAAAAAATTTTGATTGGTAAGCTCCGCGTTCATCCAGGGGCGTTCTCTTCAGCTCTCTTCGGTACGATGAACTTGGAGGAATGTTAACGTGAAGTAATGTGTCTATTTCAGAAGGCCGCTTAATGGGGCAGGCCGAACGGGGTTGGGCGGGAAACAGAACTATGGGTGGACAGGGTGGGTGGGTGAAACCACGGCCTCTTCTCAGCAACATCGTTGTCGTTACCGTGTTATATGGTCATCGTCAGGCTCTCGGGGGAACTAATACGCGTCATGAGCTCTGCGGTTGGCAATGAGCTGTAAAACGAAAAATAACAAAAAATCAAATCGAAGTGAGAATGGAACGAAGAAACAAAAAAATGAGAACGACAAAACAACGTGGTGGGCCGAATCGTAACGCGTGGGTGGGCGGGTAGGGGGGAGGGAGGGAGGGAGGGAGGGAGGGAGGAACTGTGTTGGGGTCACCGACCATTTTAAAGTGAAGGTATCTACTACACAACGGTAAACCGCATTACAACAACAAAAAAAAAAAAAACAAAAAAAAAACGAAATGATACCTTAACGTAGTAAAACCTACACGCTGTACACTCCGTTTCCATTAGCGCTGTGTAACACTGTTAAGTGTTTTTATTCTCGCGTATCGAAACGTGACAAAGAAAGTGCTGCTGGCGACCGCCATCTTAAGCCCAGCTGCAAATCGAAAAACCGACTCTTCTCGATTAGTTGGAAGGGGAAACTTATGCGAAGGGAAAAACGAAAAAATAAAACAAAAAAAACGAACGAGAAAATAATTAAAAAAAAAAAAACCTGAACGAATGAAAGAAAAAGAGGAAAACATTCAACGAGCATAGATCTCACGTTATAGAGCTTGCTAAACTACTGTGATCGAAAATTTGTATTGATATAGATATTGATTTTTCGAGAAAGAGAGGTGTGCATACATACACACACTACCATTCGATGAGTTGCGTAGATCTTTAGAGGACAAAGAGTATAGAATATTTATTTGATAAAGCTACAGAATAGAGAGTATGTTATTAGAAATTTCATAGTGTACAGAAGGTTTTTGAGAATATGTATTTTTATACGTTGAAACTCAATGGATGTAAACGCAGAAAGTGCCATTCCGTTCGTTTTGAACCAAAATTTTTCTGCTTACTTTAACTCTTCTCCTTGCGCTGATTGTGATATTAGGTTATCTGACAACTACGTCATGTATGTGAAACATATTTCAAATACGATTAATATATACGTACATATAGAGTGTATATGTATATATATATTACTGTTATTATTATTGTATATCGAACATACGATGTTTTAACCTGCAGACAATTTTGTGATTTTTTTTTTCTTTTTTGTTAAAGATATTAAATTAGGGTCATTAGCGTTAGTGTAAATAGATAATACAATTTTAGAATGGACGTTTTTGTTATCACATGATATAAGAGTGTATTTCAAATTTGCTTGTATCACCTCTTCGGGTTAATTGTTATTTAACAACCAAGGGACATATAAGAAGTTTATGATTTTGCAAGAACGATTCACAGAGTTTCTAAATCTATGACGTGAAATCTATCGCGATAGGAAAAAATTTTACGTGCACCGTATCACAATGCTGATCTCCCATTTACGTTTCGAACATTAATTTTGTTGTGTTTAGAATTGTGTTTGAAATTCAAGCGCAGACTGTGTCATTCCAGTCCATTTTGGGCCATTTCGAAAAAGGCGAGCACTCTTACCGTACCAAGATGCGCTTTACCATGTTTCTTGAAGACAAATTAAGGAAACGAAAGAAAAAGAAAAACAAACAAAAAAAGTAACAACAAATTTTTGAAATTGCGAGAATGTAATGTGTATCGAGACTGTAAAAGTTGTAAAAGCCTGTAAAAGCGATTTCTAGTACTTTAAATGACGTATTAAGCTGTATTTTTATTTTCGTTATTCTTCTCATTTTTGTCAAAAGTGTTAAAATACAAACGGAAAAGAATAAGTATAAAAGTATAAAAGCTCAACGCATGGAAATCGTGGAAATAAGCTGACCATCGTTAAGTCACTGTTGTCAATCAAACTTTGAAGTTTATTAATAAACGAAAGTACTGGCAGGATGAACTAGCGCAAGCGAGATAAATAGACGCTGAAAGAATGAAAGAAATGCGTTGATTCCGTTGCATCGTGTATCGTAACGTGCAAGATAATTTTGTCGATCCACCATAACATAGATCGAGTATCATACACACTCTCTAACCAAGTGTGACTAGTACAATCTGACGATAAAAATATTTTTTTATCATTAAACCGTAGACTATATGAAAAAAGATCATTATTTTGCTGTTCTACTATTTTGAGCGAAAGAAACCACACACACATACACACTCGTAACGAGAAAATGGAACTTGATAATAGTTTCTTTTCGTCTTTAAAAATAGAAAAAAAAAACAAAAGAACTGCGCAGAGAACAGAACAGTACGATTCGTGACCGCTCCTTGATTCGATCCATGCTCGTTAAATGGCAACGATTCATATTGCCATCACACTTATCCCAATATTTTGGTCCTTTCCTTGCCCTGCCTGCGCCATTTTTGTGATATTACTATTTTTTATAATTACTTAAGGGCTTGGATGAAAATAGAACAGAGCCACGCGACGTGTCTCAACGAATGTCTTGCAAAAATTAAAACGGTTCGCGGGCAATAATTAAACGATGTTTCCTTTAATCGCATCTACTTTGTTGTAATGTTTCACGTATGTACATAATGCAATGTAAGATCATTTTTTCACTTTTTACAGAATTAACTAGTGCTTAATGGCATTCGATTCACTCGAGGTATACGCAAGGTGTTCTTGTCGTTTGTCGAAAATGTACTCTACATTCAAAATGTACTCTACATTTTCAACTTATGTTCAATGTACGAGTCATCCTACTTTTCGGTTGAACCAGGACTGAACACCCTCTGTATATATATTTTAAATAGTTCCTAAGCTAAAGCAAGAATGTTTTTCAGTGGTACACTCGTGTTTATAGATCTCTGGTTTTTCATATTGAATTTTTTATACTATCGTAGACTCAGAAAGAACATTTCATACTTATCTTCTACCTTACCATTGTAAATATAATTTCGATTGAATGACTTAGATAAGACACAACGCGTGCACAGGATGATATTGTAAAGTAGGCTTCCGTCGAGAACTCGCGTGGCTCGCGATTATTTATTATGCTCGGAGCTCTCAGTCAAGATAAGGACGAAAATAAATTTATAAATGGAACATTAAACGTAAAGAATCATCTATTTATACATATATAATATTATATAATGAAGGTGAAACGAAGTTGATTGATATTTGACAAATTTCCAAGTTTTTTCTATTGCAAAGAGAGAGAGAGAGAGTGAGAGAGAAAGTAAACTAGAGTGTGTTAAGTGTAAAGAGAGTATGTATGTGGGAGAATATACGGGGTGATTGCAAACAAACAAAACAAAACGAACACGGGAGAAACGAAGAACAAAATGGAGACAAATGACGAGTAAAATAATTAAATGACAAACACAAGTAAATAATATTGTTGTATCTTTATTGTTGTTGTTGCATGAGCATAGCGTAATAGACTGAGCCATACATGTGGTTAAATAATAACTATTAACGTAATATTTCTTAATTAATACTATATTATTGTAATTATTGTACGGTGTGTATTATATTTAATCGTAATGCTTCGTGCGGGCAGTGTTTGGAGGGGGTTCCTATCCTTTGGGGATTCAAACGCGTATGTAAAGAAAATAGAGAAAGAAAAAAATACGTAGCTCTCGATCGTCGCCTTCTTTTTAAAATATCCAAACACTTGTATATTTTTCTCCCTACGCAAATTCGTAAACATTTTTCAAAACGGCTTTGAGAACAAAAATTATGGACGATCACATAACAAGAATCGATACAGCTTTTTTGGATGGGTGTAATTTTTTGCTGTCTTGACATTGTAAAATAGAAATGTGTATATGCGTGTGCGTGTGTGAATATATATAGTATACATTGTTTGTCCCAATCGAGAAGAACGACGTTTTACACGAAGTATTTGTACGTAAATCGGAAGAAAAGAGAGCAAATCTTCCAAGATAATTTTCGCTCACTTAAATTACTGCATATATTTATATAGCTCTTAAGAATAGAGAAGAAAATTATCTAAAATTGGAACATATGCGGTAAACTAAAAAGTGGAAAAACTATTTTTATTTTTAACGCTGCAGAATCATGCTGTGCATTTTCTTTTTCGATGGTACTGGAACCCACCAACGACTGTAGGTCTTCGAATTTACGTTTGGTCAACAGGGTGTAAATAAACTCAGAGCCAAAGGTGGGCAAAATTATTATTCAAATCAAATAACGAATAAAAAATACACAATTTATGATTGGTTTATTATATTATGTGGAACGTACAAAAGCTTGTCTTGGTTCAACTGTTCAATTAAATATAATATTTGTCCACGTCTGCTCTAGGCACGATCCTCAGGGGTTATTAGACGTCATTTACAGAAGCAGAAATGTCTTAATTAATTGACGCGCCTATTGACTTTATTTCAGAGTTCACTGTATCTGTTCCAGGAACGATATTTTAAGTACTCTCGATTGGAACATAAGCGTGGCATAAGAATTCTCTTCTTTCACTCAAAGGATCGGAACTTCATGGGGCTGTTCCTAGTACCTGATTATCCTATCCTTGCGGCACGAACGAAGGCTCTTCTCTTCTTTCGAATCGAACCATCGTCATCCGTCTGTATAAGAATTCTCTGTTCTCTCGCGTCTCGCAAGCGCCAGCGAATTCCTCTGTCCAGTGTTTCACACTCGGTATAGAGAAAAACGTATAAAAAAAAAAGAAAATGGTGTTCTTTTTATTGTTGCATACCTTGACTGCTTAGTACTTAAGTATATATATGTACATATACACCTAGACGGAAACTCAAGACTAGAGATCGCAAGCAGAGATAGGGTAAAATTTTGTTCGAATAATAGATAACGAATAAAACTAACATTTAGCAATCTCTTCGTGACGTTTATTCGACAAAGTTTGAATTGTTCCATACTGCGAATTTTAACGAGTAACGGACGAACAATCGTTTATCCTTTTACTCGTTATTCGAAATCTGTTATCCAGATGAAAATTTTGTCTATCTCTAATCGCAAGTAAGTTTTTTGCATGTTAAGTAAAAAGAAACTAGAAAAGAAAAAGAATGGAAAATGGAGACTGTTATACACACAGAGACACGCATACACACGTCCTTATTCCTTACTTCTTACACGATAAATATTCGCCAGAGATGGGCAGAATTTTATACGAATAAAATCTCTGTAGCTATTCATTCGCAACAGTGGTTATGCGGATAAATTTTTATTCAACGTAATTTTATTGTATTATTTAGATTGTAATTTTTAATTTAACATATTAACACGCCAAAACGAGCGTTTCTATTGTTCGTTATTCACAATTCTTGTCTAGATAAGAATTCTTGTTTCATTTAATTAAGAATTTTGCCCACGTCTGTCACTCGCCAAGATGCAACGAAAGGTGCTGATCTCGACGTTTACGATTAAGACTAAAAGTGCGAACGCTGTCGAACGAAAAACCTGAAAGGAAAACATCTCGCTGAGGAAGGAAATTCAGGACCATCATGACAGGAGAAGACAGAAACAAAGAAAGAAACTGAGAGATAAACGGAGACGGTACTCAGTATTGTATATCGATAATAAGCTTCAGGCAATCGTCTTATTGTGATCACTGAATTTATTTTATGCTGTCGGTTGACAATTTATTATTATTATTATTACTGTTGTAACTGATTAATGGAATGAGCGCGACTGCGTCGATCCTTCTGATCACATTATCATCTGTAGGAATTGCGATCCTCAGGGCCCATGATCAAAAATGTCGGCATTTTATTGTAAAAAAAAAAAAGACGTAATATAAAAAAGAAGAAAAAAGGGAGGAGGAAGACGCCACGTGGACACGCAAAGACCGATTGGAAAAGCTTCAAGCGTTTTATCCTGTAGAGTTGTTCGAGTACTTGAAAGGAATTCCTATTCGTTGTATTTAATTGTCAAGTAATTGCAATACGATCGAACGAAATCGTACTTATAATTTATGGATGTCTTGTAGGTTTTTTTCATCAAGTATATCTTGCAAAGCTTACAATCTTTATCTGGATATACGTTTCTAATAATGAATGAAAATTAAATAAATGTTACTTCTTGAGTAAAAACTGCGATTTGAATTGTACGATTACTGTGTAATTATTATTCATAAATCAGTAATCCGTATCTGATTAATCATAGTCATGGAATACATTTAGTTCAACACTACCATGATGTATGATTTAGTTTTTCTCTGTTCAAATGTTTCGAGTACTCGACACCTCTGGACTTTTATTTCATTTCATTTCATTTTACGCCAAAGCCAAGCACTCGACACCAAACAGGGGCAATTCTTTGTTTCATTTTTATTTTTAGAATTAAATATATCACGTGTACGGATGAACCGATTCGAGGCCTCCTCTTTCGCAGAGGACTACCGGTCCAGCAGGAGCACATCACTCTCACCGATTCGCACATTGTACATACGCATGCGCACAATCAGAATGATAGTTCCGTCGTTTACTTTTCTCTTGGTTCTTTGCGTGCTACGCGACGCCATCATTCGAAAAGTAATTCGAAATAAACCTTGAGGAATACTGGCGTACAATACCAACCGTGTAAGTGTCTTCTTTTTTCAGCATCTTCGATGAATTTTTGTTTTTCTCCTCGCCCGCACAAATACCGATTTTACTTACACCATTTTCTCATATGCTTTTGTACTAATTTTTAGTTTGAATTAATATTATTTTAGAAGCTTGCTTTTATTGGCGCTTCATTTAGAAGATACACCTGTAATGTCCTGTACGACCATCAAGGAGTCGCGAGAACCTGCCAAAGAGGTAGGTGATATTTCGCTGTTACATTTAGCTTGCTCGCTTTGTATAGCTAAAGATGGAATACTTATTGAACACAGGTTTCTTTCACAAATAATTTTTATTATGAAGTGCAATAGAGTACGAATGGTATGATATTACTCATAGTATCTGTTGCTCAGGAGGCTACTAAATCAGGATGTCATGTTATATAAACAACTAAAACGGCATTACTGTGAAAACATGAATTAGAAGGCAAACTTACTCTAGCTCCTTTACAATCTCTTGCAGTACAATTGATGCGGTGCATGCAGTTCCGGAAATTGGCGAGGACAACGTATGACAGACTCCCACAACGAAAGAATGATAAATGCATAATTGAAGCCCATGGTGCAAGAACTTTCCTCTCCAGAAATGAAGATTCTTCAAGGACTTCAACAGTCTTTCTTTATATAGAATATATAGAAAGATATTATATATTAGGTTGTCCCAAAAGTTTCTTTCGCTTTATTAATAAGTAATATATGTACAATAATTTATGTTTTATGTTACATTACTGAATTGTGCACGATTCATTTTGCTCCATTACTGTTACAATATGAATATCTATGAAAGTAGATTGTCTATTTATAGAAACACGACCACATGAAATAATTGAGTGCACCTCGCGAAAGAAACTTTCGGGACAACCTAATATAAGATATCATATAGAATAGCCTGCGTTCTAACTCAAAAATATATACGACTAATTTTCGCGCCAGTCTTCGATGTCCCCATATCGATACTGTCCGTCGTAATCGTTCAAACGTATCTCAATGATTAAGAACGTCGATAAAATTCCGTTCACAGCGTCGTCAGAGAATCCATTTCGTTGAACGCCACGCGAACCAGTTTCGAAGTCACGAAACAACCCAATGTCACTTTTATACGGCAAGAGACCCGTAATCGTTTCTCGTAGCGGCACATAAAAGCGCAGATAAAACGCGTTCCCACGTCCGATCGGTCCAACGGGCGACTTAAGTGATTGCTTCTCTTCATTAGAGGCTGGCTCGTTTCGCTCGACCCGATCCACTTCGGGAGGGAGAACGAAACTTGAGGGACAGGTGCGGTAATGACCCGTATCCGAAGCGGGCACCGACTCGAGATCTCGATGCTCGAGAAAGAGAGAGAGAGGGGTTGGCGTAGGGGGTAGTTGCAGTCGATTTAACCCCTGCCTTTCCGCCACCAGTCGGGAACCCTCGAGACTATTACGCGAATTGATTCGGCATCGGATCTGCCCGGGGGCGGAAACACCGTTTAGCTCCTCGTTTCTTCCATTCTGAACTCCGCTGCACCCCTCCCGCTTCTTACGGTACTCCTCTAATCTTGTTGCGTCGAATCTTTTGTTTGTATCGTTCCACTCCTTTCTTCTATCTTTTTCAGAAGTCCTTGAGTTTATAAGAAGAATTTATTTTGAAAGCTGAAGGCTTTGGATGACAAGACACGCGAAAAATGAAGAGTAAATCAATCTACGTAGAGATTCAGAGCTCTTACAGAAGTAACTATTATATTTAAACCAATATTTGAACCAATGTTAAGTTGTCTAAGGAACTATATATAAAAAAAACTTGTTATTGAAACATTCTAATTAACTTGTCTTCGTCATAAAAGGTGAAGGAATGTAAGAGGCAGGACTATTGCACGCGAGTAATCATCCATCTGCAAACGCTGTCCAGAGGAACCGCCGTAGGGATATATTTACCAAGAAGCAAGAAATCAATCGTCCTTAGCCACGCGGAAGAGCAAGCGGGAAGGGATACTAGAGGACTTGAAAATAATTCACGCGGGCACGCCGCTATTCGGGTACGGCACTGACTAGCGGACCAAGGGGCAGGTTGGCTTCACCTTCCACCCCTCCGCCCCTTAATCTAATCCAAGGATAATCTAAAATTCATGACACACATAACTGCCAGGCGATGATATATCTGGTGGGGGTGTGGAGGCAACGTCTTTCCTCTTGCACCCCTTGGTCCATTCGCTCGCGTAACCCCTCCACCCCCTCAATCTCACCCCTTGGCTCTCCGTCTATCGCAGGGTCTACCGGCGAGTTTCTCGCAATCACTGGCATTATTATTTAATGTATCACGGTCGGATACAGGTTTGCCTTCCGGTAAATCGCGATATCCCGCGGCGTTGCTGTTTATCAAACCCTCATAACGTGACTGCGCACCATCGTTTTTTATTACTTTTTTCAATTTAATCCATAACCGGATATTCTAAAGGAGATCCAAACAATCCAGATTATTCGTTGGTCGAACCGAACGTGCCCTGTAGTTGTCAGAACAAGCGGAAAGATAATAATTCCCAGTCAGAGAAACTAGAGCCGACGAAAACCAAAGGTAATCGTTTTACCTTTTACACCGACCATCCCGTTTATATTACCCCAACGATATTTATTCGCGCGCTCAGGCCTGTTCTTTCGTTCACTGGAAATAGAATTACGCGATCGGGTTAATCGACGGTGTAATTTGAATAATTTATTCGTCCCGACAAACCGAATTGTCGCTCATTACGCCGTTCATGGGTCGGTCGGTTAACCGATTGATTATCCTGTCCAGTGTGAGTCGATATCGTGTAAACAGTCGATTCGACCGTGCGTCGTCTGTTTCCACGTCCCGTGTACGGTGGATAATTATTTTCGGTGCCCGACCGTAGTACGACTGCGATGTCGATTCGCCGAATTACTCGTCCATCCTGCTGATTAATTTACTTCGTCGATTCGTCAATCCTTGTAAACCTTGGTTTCGTTATGGAAGTCGGGGTAAGACAAAGGTTGACTCTGCGTGCAAGAGCCGAACGATGTATTTTTCATTTGCTTATCATTTTTCAATGTGTCCACATATTTTTTAGGTTTAAAATTTACGTAAATTGCATCGACGTCTCAATGAACGCGACAAAAAATCATCGACGGCCACAGAATAATAATATCGCATCGCATGAGTCGCGATAAGCAATGGGGGTCCCGCAAAGCCACGTCGATCCATTTTCATTCCCCGCGTGATTATTCTGCGCTCGACTCGTCGACTTTTCGCCGTAGGGCACGATAATTGATGATGGTCGCTGGTTTTCGTGGGACATTATATCCCAGTTACCAGTCGACCATAGTTGTCGTTTAATGTCCACCGTTCTATTTCCCATACATCCAGCGACGCACCCAGATATTTCAAATTGGGGGACTGGGGGCACCATTTTGTATCGACCTTTTTAATCTAATTTAGATTGTAACTAGACTTAGATTACAACGTGACTAGATTCGAAATCTACCAACACAGCTGTTGCAATGTAACTTGGGTGCCATTTTTAAAGTAACCCTTACCAACAGGACCTGTATATCGATACCGTTCGTAGCGTTCACGATGAAAATCATATTAAGCTCCCAGCGTGGCTCCATTATACTGCGAAAAGGACATTTATATACAAATGCGGCGCGTAAATAGTCGAATCGCGTCGTTGCCCCCCGTTGGGGGGGAGGGGGGGTCGAGAGGAAGCAACGTTTTCTCGCCACCAGGGGAGAATTTCACCCCCCTCTGTAGTACCCCTTAGCGGCAGACAAACGACGGCCAATTTACGAGCAGCGGGAAAGAGAAACTTCTTTAAACTCGGATTAAAATAAGCGACGGACCTACTCGACTCGCTTTCCCTTGCCCCTTTTCTTTTTTCTCCTTCGTCTTGCTCGTCTTCCCCTGCACCCTTGAAATTCATTTCGGGATTCGAGGCAATCTTTATTTCATTCGCGGCGAGAGAAGGGAGGTTTTCTTGTCTCCTTTACTATCGTGGGGTTCGGAGCTAGGTGACAATTCGTTGGGAGCAGTTAAATTGATTACCGCGAGGGTTGAATCGATCCTTTAAGCCCATCGATTAGGGTGGTCCACCTGTGAGAGCACCGCCATTGAATCTCTCTGTGTCCTTTTGCGTGGAACGTTCACGCGATTCCAATTGCGCTAGTTTACAGTTCCTTTACTTGAATTATAGAATTCAGTTTTATCTAGAGAAAGAAACGAAAATATGAAATAAGTAATTAACACGATGGAAAAGTTGCTCTGCTCCGTTAATATTCTTGATATTAATTTCTTTTATTAAATTTAACGATTCAATAAAGCCGCCATTTCGGTGCACGCGCGCAGATGTACACGGACAGGACAATAACGACGCCCTCGGGAACGTCCAGAATGAATCCCAGTTTAACGCGATTACGCGACGTGGTGTTTCCAAGTGATTCCGCCTGCTTGATTTACCTCCACGCTGGTTCAGGATTGCAACACCTTCCTAAAAATAAAATTGCGAATTTTCTAATCGAATGGAAGCGAACATTAGGAGGGTTACTTTGAGACTCTGGCCGACATCACCAACCCTATCGCTAGCGACGACTTCGGAATAATATTCTTTATTAATAATAATTATGACTGTACTTCGTCCCTGTTCAATGCCAAATTGCAGCGGGTACAAGGAGCAAATAACGCCAAATTTGTGTCGCGAATTGGCTGCGTTATTATCTCGCGGCGAATCCCAGGAGCCACGTTTTCATGGGTTGAGGGGGTTGGCCCTTAAATCGCGGATCTTGAGCTCGGTGCTCGACAAATCGTGCGTCCCGTGAACACCGTCCAAGACATAATTCTTGAGGATGATTCACGGGTGGGTGGACAGACTGGCCGTAGAGGACTTCTGGTGTTCTCTCTCTCTGTGGGCGTCCTCACGGCGATGCGCCCCCAGGACGATGGCCAGCTTCGTCGTCGTCGGGGCGCTAATGCAATAACGCGTCGGTACGCGGATAAATCAAGCCGACCGAATCGCTCCGCCAGTGCTGTGTCACCTAATCGTGTTACCTCGTCCCACGGGCCCCATTACGATTCGCGCCTTTTCTTGGGAAGCTTTCTTACAATTTTTAGGGCATGTAGAGGTGTCTCGAGAAGAGACTGTAGACATACTTCCCGAGCAAGAGAATATTTGATCCCTCTTGGAACCTAAAACTGCGCTAATCTTGTATAAACATAGAATAGATGGTTTTGAGAGAATAGTATTAACCCTTTGCACTCGAGAGGTGACTCGGTCTCAGTCGCCATTAGGTTTCACGCAGCAAATCTACAATACCTAATGTTTCTTTAAGTTTAATTTCTTTGAAGCTTGAAGTGTTAATAAAATGATTGTCGGTGAGGTAAAGGTGACCTTATTCTCAAATCTAAAGATAGCTCTTTCGGATAGCTTAGAATTCATGGCAATAGAATGCTAAGAATCATCTCGAGTTCCTGGCAGATACCAGAAAAAAGGCCTCGAGTGCAAAGGGTTAAAACTGCGCTAGTCTTGTACGAACATAGAATAATTGGGTTTGCGAGAATAGTATTAAGCTAAGGAAAGCGTTCAACTCTTTTCCTCTAAGGGTAGCTGCAATAAATGAACCAGTGTCCGTTTGAGATTCAAGTTTATATATTTTAAAGCTAATAGTATACAGAAATGACAATCGTGTAGTCAAGTACAGCCCCACGACACCGTTGCGCCCGCACAATGTTCATTTTTCATCTACCCAGAAGTTTTATCGACTTTCACGCCTGCCGGACGATTATCCAAATTTCAGTGTTTCATTTTCTTGTTTGGTCGACCGTTCTCGCGAGGTCTGCCCAGCCGAAATCGTTCGCGTTTGTGTCTCGAGGACTTGCAAGTTTGAAGCCCAACTACTGACGACCCTCGACTATTTAGTATATAACATATTATATATAATACACACGTCTCTCGAAATTGTTCACTTTATACACATCGAGTCACCGTTTGTACTTCACGGAAACGAATATCCGTACGCGCTGATAAAACCGTCTCGTTGGCGAGTGTCTTTAATGTTATCCGTGGCGTTAAAAAATAGTAACCAGAAGGCGAAGCACCAAATGTGAAGGTATAACGTAAAAGAATTCCATGGTAATTCAATTGAAACATTTACAGTCTTTTATCTAAATAACATTAAAAACACTCGACAACCGAAAGGCCAGATTGTTATTACCAGCATTAAATCCAACCATGGTTCCTGCAACGGCGGTGAATCAATAATCAGTTCTACTTCTCACGAGACTCTTATTCCTTCTAGGTCACTTCAACTTCTTCGAAACTACGCGCCTGGGACAATCGATAAATAACAAAACGTTCTCCGCAACGAAGAAGAAGAAAACGAAGATCCCCAAAGTGTCCATACTCACCGCCGCGCAACACAACGACCCTAATCGCGTCTGGTAACGTCCAAGAGTCTGGACTTGGCATTCGGAGTAGTATCCGAGGTCTTCTTGGTCTCAGTTAGTCTCCCTTACGCTGGCCTGTCGAGCCCCAACGCCTCTTGATGTCGTCTGGCCTTCAGCCTGAGGTCCGCGATGCTGCTGTTCTTGGAACGAGCCGCAGCGGCGGCCAGAGAGGCCGCCAGGCTCAGGGGATGAGGGTGCGGATGGCTAGAGGTTGGCGGAGGCGGAGGAGGTGGTAGACAGAAGAGACCACCAGCTGCCGCGTAATGGAGAACCGCTGGGTCGAAGGCAGAGCCTGCTGCCGCGGCGACGTTTCCTCCAGCACCTTGCATCGGGGGGTGCAACCTCAACGCTGGCAGGTAGGGCGCCACTCGACAAGGCTCCAAGCTGGTTGGAGGGCTACGTGGTGCCAGCACCAGTCCACCTGCTACCCCTGTAACTTTCAATGAGACGTTTGTTTATCCATCACATTGTACAAGTGTGCAGAGATGAGTAGCTTAAGTTTAAAGTGGTAATACAGTCTGTCTGACAAGAGCGTGTCGGCTATTTTGTAAATATTTATATATTTGTACAAAGTTTTATGTGGGTCGAATCTACACCTAAAACACTGATTACACTGATACGCATTTACGTAGTAAGGTGTCTAATATCGTCTATTAGCAATTATAGCTTGGCACTGTCTCGGCATACTCTCTACTAGTTTGTCAAAAATTATCTGGCGTCGACTCGCGAAAGTAGCGATTGCGATTGGAGCAATACAGTGTTCAGTGATGAATAGACTGCGGATCTTTATGGATTTATAGGAAATTTGAATGTACAAGAACCTACAGAATAGGACCAGATAGGTAGCAGATTGGAAGGAAGTCTTTGTCGCGTTGCGAGTCTTTCGAGAGTGCACGAACGATAAGAATGTGAGTTGTGAAGAAAGAGTGTTTAGATCGGACGACAGTCGAACGAGTGTTTGGACGAAGCGAACAGACCAGACCGAATGTTTAAATTAAGGAATCGATGACATGTACATGTACGTGTGAATGATTATAAGGGGAATGCAGTTTGAAAGAACGAAGAGAGTAGTCAATCATAAGCGAACAGGCACCGTGAACGTATCGATTGAATTTTTAATGAACTACGAACTTTTAACAACCAATTTTACTGCGGTGGAAAACGCGTACCCAACAGTCTTTACTTAGTTTAAAATTGTTCACAGGGTAGTATCTACTACTGCTCTCATATCTCTGGAGATATTTGACTAACATATTTCTTGAGAATTAACTGCGAAGAGTACCTCCACAGTGCCAGTACCATTTCACGCACCTTTGTGCAATTGACTTTCGTGTTTGCGACACTTCGCCCGTCGATTCTGAAACCAAACTTGAACCCTCGCCTCGCTCAGCCCGAGTCTCTGGCTGAGTTCTTCCCTCATGAACGCGTCAGGGTAATGCGTCTCGTCGAACAGCCTTTCCAACTCTGCCAGCTGTTCCAACGTGAAGTTCGTCCTCGATCTTCTCTGCTTGCCGTTTCCGTTCCCGCTGTTGCGGCAATTGGAACCTGAACAAATTTTAAACGGTGACTCAGACACCCAGCGACAAATAGCGTGTAAGTACGTTGCGGGCGAAAGGGGGCACGAGGAAGCTTGGAATTAATGTCTCCAATTCGTTCACAGGTCATTTCTTCCGGACTGGTCGACATCAACATAAATTCCGGTCTTTTACGAGGATCTTATTCAAATCACGCGTCGCGACTTTTCAATTAGTTGACATTAGAGAAACGTCGCCGAGAAAATTTATGTCGCTCCGCGGACCTCCTTGGCGAAAATTGGGAGAGATCAAACGGAAACGACTGAAGAAACTACGGTAAATTATTCAAAATTTATTTCTTTTAGTAGACGTTTTTGTTTCTTTTGTATAAAGATAGAAATATAATTGAACCACAATTTTGATTATTGGATGTTTTATTTTAGTATCTTCAAGTTTATCACGGAACCGATCTTAAAAACTTCCGGAGGAGACGGTCGTCGCAGTGCAAACGAGCCGCAAGCACCGCCGCGAGTTAAAGAGACGCCTGGATAATTAACGGGCATACGATTTAATTAATGGCCGCTTAATGCAAAGTAACTGCAGTACAACTCTTGGAGGTGTTGCCGATGGGAACTCGAGAAGATCCGAGCACGTTACTTTCGGAGAACGTGAGGGGGCACGGAGGGTGGATTAAGCGTCTCGCGTAAGAGCCCTTGACGAAGGGGATGTGATTTATATAATTTAGCAAAGTGGTGAGCTACGTAGTCTTATACGGGGTCGTTAGTTACCCCGTCCCCATCTTTCTGGCATCCTCTGTCTGTTGCTCTCTCCTTCTCGCCCTCTCACTTCCCCTCGGTCGCCCCTCAGACGCCGTTCTCGCCGATCGTCACCTTGATCAACCCTCGTTTCGACGCAAAGATGGATACCTTATGACGTTGTTCGGTTGTCGAACATTCTTGCTCAACCGTTTGCACTCGGACTCTCAAAGGGCAGTTTTTAAGTTTTGTGTAAATGTAAGGAAAATTATTGACACCCCTTATGGCACGTTTACACGCTCAAGCTATTGTTGGATACTCCAACCCCCAGGCCAACTTTCTCTTGATTTTAGGATCTCCCCCTTAGATTTTCAGAACCAAGAGTCAGTCTTTCCCGAGACCTCGTCCAGTAATATACAAACTCTGTTCTTAGTTAATAAACGTTACATTTACAACAAACTTATGGTGTCGTTACTCGGGGTCACGTCACTATCTGCACAAGCCGGCGTGCGCAAGCAAATTTGTGCAAATGAACCGAATGAAATATCGCCGTTCACACGTTTAGTTCGATTTGCACGATTGTGAAGTGAGAGACCCCGAAAATTGTAGTTTTTGTGTCCGAAATGGAAAATCTGGACGAATGCGTACGTTTGCATCATTTACGCACACCAATCTCAAGCCGATTTTCTGTCACAACAGATTTCACTCGAGCCAAATTTTTTGGCTTGCGCAAACTTCATCCCTGCGTTCACACGCTACGATTTACTTATGCAAGCCGATTTGTGCAAACAGCTCGAGCGTGTAAACGCACGTTCAATGTCTCGTACGACGAAGAAAGCAGCCTTCGTAAAATAGTAGCAACCTTCAGAAGCTCTTACGCTATTCACAACTATTTCGCCACCTTTCAACAAAAATTCAGTTCGCCGATACTCCAAACAACAAAGCCACCTTCGCACCTTTCGTTCCCTCGCTCGCATCCCCCAATCGCATTAGCCGCGGCAATTAACCGAAAGAAAAAAGTTAATATTTGCGAACTCGCCGTTCCATTTGCTTGGCGTTTCATTTATTCGTCGGGGAGGACGAGAGGAGGGATGGGAGTCTGGGGGGGGGGCGGGGGAGGAGGTCGTTGGCAAATTGCAAATCGCTGAGAACGGAGGCGAAATAACAAACAGAAAAAAAAAATATGGAAGTGCGCGAAGCGAAAACGCGGAGGTAAATCGAGAAAATCATAACGACGATAGGAAAAAAAAAAAGCTGGGACGTTCCCGATTAAAACGAGGAGGAATTACAAGGACACGCGCTCTCGCGATGACGACGTAGTATTGCGCTTTAATCAATTAGCGGATACCTACGTAATCCAATCGGAGCCCTGGCAGAGCGAAGCCCGCATCCATATGTACAGCGGTTTAAAACCCCTCCTAGCGAAATAACTCGCGCGGTTTTCAGACCCATTCTCTCGTTCCAGTCATCCCGACGCCCCTCTATCATCAAACTTCTCTCACTCCCCCTTTTCGCGGCTCTTGTACCATCCCTTCGTCTCGATTTGTCCTTCTCCGTTGATCGGTTCAACGAGAGCGATTCTGTGATTCAGTGACACCAGTCTTTATTAATTTAATCCTTTATGTTTAGGTACCTTCGGGTGTGGTTCACCGTTTGAGACGAAATGTAAACAAGCTTTGTTCTATCAACGATCCTCGGGACTTCTTTAGGAACGTAGGTACGTAATTCAATATGTCCTTATATTAGTTTGTCTGGAAAGTCCGTGCCGAATTTTGATAGGTGGTACACGTCTGTTTATATCGGAATGGTTGAAAACAATTAACATGGGTGCATCCCTTAAAAGATGGCAAGATCGTGGAACAAAATGGTATTTATATAATTCAATAAATATATATCAAAATTCAAATGTGCCAAATTTTTCCTAAAAATTAGCACGAACTTTCTGGACAACCCAATACATATCCAATGCTGTAAAGCTCAACGAGTTATTTATACACAGGGGTATTAAATGATCCACGCATTCGTAGGTGCGAAACTCGTGGTTCGATGCCGAGGATTGTGCCGTGGATTGTGCCCAGGCGGGAATGCAACTCTAGAAAGATAAAGGGAGAAAGTGGCCGTGGAACCCTAGTGGAAAACCCGAAGCAATCACACTCGGACACGAGGGGCCGCTAATTCGATTACTAAGAGCGCTGCCCTCTTGGCCTGATCCAGTCAAACCACCCTCGCCACCCCTTCGTGGACCACCCTCGGACTCGGTGATCGTCGCTGGTCCCTGTACTTTTTCCCCCCTCGCGAAACGGGTCGAGATATCGTAGCCATTAGGCGTATAAAAGCGGCCGAGACAACCCTGCTTAATCCCCTGGCAGTTTGTCGCGTATGCTGTAACTGCATATGGCACGCAGTCGGGCTCCCGAGTAACTAGGTCTATGCTGCAAGCTTAGAAGCAAGGATTAAAAATCCTCATCCATTTAGGAGGACATGCAGACTACACCAATGCGCGTAATAATAACCTTTAACGATAAACTACCACGGCTGGTAATAAAATCACCCTTACAAACTTTTTTATACAGTTCTTATACGCAACATATGAATTATATACAATTGTTTCATTCGTCATTCAATTTTACGTGAGATATTTTTGTATCTAATTTTAGAAAGTGTTTTTAAGACTAATAATTTTTGTTTCATTTAAAGATTTAACGTCGCATCAACATCCTAGGTTATTAGCCACTACACTGAGTTATACGTACACTTAATAAGGCTATCCAAGTTACTTGGTTCAAAGTTTTCTTTTAATGATGGCCTGATTTTGTTGAGTTCACGGCATCTTCTGTATTTAGAACAATTTAGAACCAGTAATATATGTTCGACTGTGATTATCGCGTTACAGGCAGTACAAGTGGGTACTAATAAAATTTGTCCGATCACGGTAGAAGATACAACCGCCGATACAAACGCCGATAGGTTTAGCGTTAATAATAATAGAATTGAACAATGTCTGTAGTAGAACGAGAAATGGCGATAATATTTCCTCGTGGCAAAGAATGATGGCCCGTGCTACGTAACAAATATCACCGAAAGAATGAGTCGAGTGTCGCAGTAGATCACCTCGACTTCCTCGAGCAGCCACTTTGCCTGACTTGGCGTCGATCTCTCCCGCCGCGACCAGTGGCGTCGATCCGTTCTCGCGCGCGCATTTTCTCCTCCGAAGATCGCGTTTATGGTCCAGCGTGTCCTCTCGACCCTTGGTCAGAGGCTGTCCTCGCATGTTTACGGCTCTCGGCGTGCAAGTTTTTGAGTCATGGCGACGGGCCAGGGGAATTACCACGACAGAGAGGCTAAATGTTTCGCGATATTTATGTAACTCTCTCAAACTTCTTTCGAGCTTTCTGAATTCCATTTCTCAAACACAAACATGGTACTCCGTTTCGAAGATTCTTGTAACGCGGAGGATTCATGTAACCCGGAGTTCCATTTTAAATTATTTACGATCGAAGGAAGGGTACGAAATATATGTACGAACGATTTCGTGACCCATTTCAGGGATGTATGTAACTGTATTCTAGTTGTTATGTATAAGGCTACCATTAGATATCGTTATCGAGGTTTGCGGTCACTTAGGCCACTCGCACACGGGCGCAACCGATCAGTTTCAAATCGCTCTGAAACTAGTTGCATGCGACCGTAGATCTAGGTAAAACAAAGATAGTGGAGTAGGTAAAACAAAGAGCGCAAACGGTTTGCAACACTAATTTCAAATCGGTTGCGCCGTGTGCGATCGGCCTCATACAGAAACATCAAGGAACTCTCGAAAGGATTCGTTAAGGATCGACCGTTAGTTTACTCATATCCGGGCGAAATTGAAATCACGCATAATCACACGACGCTTAATGAACGCCATATATCGAGAGAAATGAAAATCTTTCGTTCGATGTAATTGAAACCCTCGTTAGAAGTCGTGAAAAAGAAGCGCGATACCCGCACACCGCACGCTTACTTTCCAGGGAAACAAAAGTATCCGGGGAAGCGAAAACCGATCCTTGGCGCTTCTTCAACTCGCGGTTATTTATGGTTTTACTTTGGCGCGTCCGATGGCTGCCGGCCGGGCAGATTGCTTTTTGATTTGCGCTTAATCGGGAAAAGTTATGGGCCCCCGAGAGATGGAGGCGAAAGAGCGAGGGAGATGGGTGGCTCTCTCGCCACCCTCGGAGCTCTGTGTGTTAGGGGGCGTACACAACTAACGCGGCGGGCCGCATATTAAACCATAAATTCATGCGAGCCACCGCCGCAATAGACGCCGAGTTATCGCGGCGAGGAGTGTGCGTGGCGTTACTTGAACGCGTCAGTTTTTAACGCGATTTTCATTTGCCTGCTCGTCTATCCGTCCGTTTTGAATTCAATTTCCTCGAGCGTATGTAACTGCTGGCCGTCGATTGCATTTTTTATCGACGAGTTCCGTCGTTCGAATCGCCATTGCTCTTGCGTGTCGCGTCCGAGAGGAACCTTCCTACGGTCCGATTTAGGCAGAAATAAAATATACATTGAACGATCACTGCACATAATTATTGTCTGCGTGTTAAGTTACACTTGTAATAGTCTTTACACGCTTTGTGAACGTATGTTTACATGCATATTTATCATCGTTTGAGGTCTTTGAAGTATATCTCACGTATTGTAAAAAACCTGCCTAAAGGACATCAAGTTACTAAGCCAGTATTAGGATGAATCAATACTATTACTGATATTAATATTATTGTTACGACGTCTTTGATATATAAACAAAAAGATTGTACTGTTCTGAGCCTGTACTCATTTCTGCAAGTTGCAGAGTAGAGGAGTCTTCGCTTTAAGTCCAACTTAATCCTTTGCACTACGTTAGCGCCACCACGGTACGCATAATAGCTCCACACCGCCAAGGCAATATTATATCTTATATAATTATATTATATATTCTACACTAAACAATAAAAGGAGCACATAATATATACCATTAACTATACTGAACTGTTTCAGGAAGCTCTAATAAAGATCCACCTCGCAATCGACGATTTCAGCTTCCGGCAAAAGGAAAAATGATGTGGCGGAAGAAAAGCGCAAGTGGTGGATGGCGTGTGGCAAGTTATTGAAGTCGACTCGGCATGTGGGTAAACATCGTTACGTTGTGAACGGTCAGCTATTCCCAATCACTTCTGATCTTTATTGGACGACGTCCTGAATTATAAACGAAGATCGAACCCTCCGACGATACGTGTCGGAGGTTCCTGACCTTCTTACGCTGGTTCCCGCGGCGCCAGAAAACGACCTGACATCTGATAGCTCCTTCGAGTATCCTTTGGAACAGTCTTCCTTAAAATCTCTCGTGAATTTCGAATCCTTTCTTGCAGAGATAGACAAAACAAATGTAAGGCTAAGAGAATACAGAGATTCTTTTGTTGCTTGAGAGTAAGTTATATTAGTTTTGATCTATGTAAGTTTATGTTTATTATTATTATTGTTGTTGTTATTATGCACATAGGTACACTTATGCACATTCCTTAATTCACAGCTAGATCAACAACCCTTTACAGATATTATATAGAACATCATGGACAATAGAAACTCAGTAAGTACACTTTTTTCATCCCTGAAGAGCACAAATGTAAGGCTAAGAGAATGCAGAGATTCTTTTGTTGTTTGACAGTAAGTTATATTAGTTTTGAACTATGTAAGTTTATGTTTATTATTATTACTGTTGTTATTATGCACATAGGTACACTTCTGTTTCGCAAACCATTCCTCAATTCACAGCTAGATCAAGAAACCCTTTACAGATAATATACAGAACATCATGGAGAATAGAAACTCAGTAAGTACACCTTTTTTCATCCCTGAAGAGCATCTATACTTGAGACTTTAAGTATTCATAGTACTCGAAACCTTACCTTTAGCTTCCTCCTGTCCAGGAATCAACGACCTGGAGACCTGCGACGGTAGCTTGAGGTCCGTCGGCGTTTTGGCGTCGCCAGCGCTCTGAGCCTTTAGCTCGAGGCAGCTCTCAGGACTGGGTGAACGATCCCTCGATATCGGTGGCGGCGAAGGGCTGCAACCTAGCAGTTTCCTCACAGAGAGCTTCAGCTCCGGGGTCTTAAAAGGTGGAAGGCTCTCGACGTTGCTGCCAGCGTCCTTGACCTCCTTGGTCTTCGTCGCGACGGACAGGTCCTCCGGCTGGAGGCGACCTTCCGGCGACGGCGGCTCCTCGACGCCGCTGACGTCCACGCTAGACGGCTCCTGACTGGACTCGCGCGTCGTCGTCCCCACATCTGAAGAATATGGTCGTCGCGAATCAGTTTCACAGCCGTCGATTTGGAAATGTATTTGTTGACTATGTTAAAATGTCCCTTGGAATATTTGTTGAGGAATCCGTTGGTAGGAAGAAAGTCGTTGAGGAAGGAATTACGGAAGATTCATAACGAATGAAGAAAGTGACGAGCAACACTGTGAAGGATAATCGAGATCGAGAGTGACTGAAGTGGAGGATGACGACGCACCATTCCAAATTCATGAGATACTGTTTTCTGGAGTCTGCCATCAATTGGACGATTCGATAGAAGAAGGGTAACACCGTGTGTGACAATGCTATGGATTCACGATATCCTTGGAAAGCGATTCTTACAGGAGATACGACCAGTTACCGATTCACGGGGGTTGTGGAACAAAGCATTGGCGACAGATCTGGTGAAACTCTCTAAGAATGATGGGAAGGCATTTCATAAAGTATCTTGATAAATCTAAAACTTCTAAACGTATTCAAAAATTGTCACGTAAATTAAATTAACCTGATGTTTTATCTTTTAGGAAGAATTCTTTCGCATCGCTACCGAATCGTTGTATCTAGCATCTCCAGGATACTTCACAGCTTGGTAGCGCATTACATCGCGTTTTCACATTTCAAGAGAACCTTGGCATTCAACACATACAGTCTAAATCTACCCTGAACCATCACTGACCATAACCTAGTAGCTCTCTTCGGTAATCAACGTCATAATAACACAGCATTACTTCCACATGGTGATGGTTGCGTTCCTGACAGTAACTTTTAGCTACCCTAGGACACTTCTGGACCTGATAGCCCATAGTAGCATGTTGCCAGGTCCCTAGAGCACCTACGAACCGTCAAAGAACCTCGTAGGTCAACTTATCCAACGAATTTTACCTATAACCTTCACTGATTCGAATCCAGCAGCTCTATACCACCATAAATGAACTCATAATCTCGTATCACTTCACAGAGTCACGGTACAACGTTTCTGATGACACGTGGACGTCGAGAGTGGTTCAGGGATCCAAGGAATGAAAGAAGAAACGCGCAACGTACTGCTATCATTCTCCGCCGGATCTCCAAGGAGGTGCGCGACACTGAGGGTGATCCTCGCGGATGGTGGCCGATCGGAGGTCTTGCAGGCGTGCTCGCCGCCTTGCAGGCTCGCGTTGTCGAAGCTCTTGGAAACGAACTGGGCGAGCTGCTCCATCCTCGCGGAGAAGACTCGCGCGACGACGCGGCTCGCGTCGACCTCGTCGTCGAGGCCGATACCGCCGAAGGGGGTTGCACGCAAGCGACCGTCGGAGTACGCAGCGCTCGGCGTCTCGACGCCACGCGTCCCACAGGACGCCATTCGGACGCCGACCAATCGACGCTCCCGCGGGCGGTCCTGCCACGCCTACAGATTTCTCCGTTCCTCTTTCCGTCCCTATCTGTTTGCCAACCCCTCTGTGTCTCTCCCTTAATCTACATTCCTCCTCTCGCTTGTATCCTCGCCCCAACCCTCCCCATTCCGTCCATTTCGCTCACCGTAAACCGAGGCTCATTAGCATTCGCGCCCGTCCGCTTTTCCATCCGCGAAGCGCAAACTACCACCTCTAGGCTGACGACCGGCCTACGTCCGCCAGCGTTGGCTAGATTCTCCCTCCCCGCAGCTCGACAGCAACGTTTGCTAGCCCTCGGAAACATCCACCCACCCCTGACCGCGGACCGACGTCGCTCGTCTCGTTCGCCCTCTTGGTCCGCGCAGGACGTCCCTTTTCACCTCCTCGGGGGCGCTAGGTGCGAACGTTCAGGACCGCTGGTGACGCTGTTTACACCAGGGAATACTTATCGCGCCGGGGATTGATAATCGATTTAAAATGAATTGGTTTGTTAACCGACAACGATCGGGTTCGCTGCGGTTAGAGAAGATCGAGAGGTAACGTGGGTGCTCTTTCCGTGACGGCATTAGCGGAACGTTGCTGGTCCTTTTGATAATACCCGTGGGTAGAAAGCTAAAAGATTAATCCTTTTTCAATTTTTGTTACAGGTATTTCAATCACGAACAGTAAACTAAATTTGGAATCCTTGGTCTTCTGAGCTAGCAGATTCTTGGGACTCAAATTCAAGCTTCGATTCAATTAGTCAATTTATGAAATTGTTCTTCGAATTTAGTAAAGCTTCCTCGATCGAACGAGAGAATATCAGGTAACCTACGAGTACTCGAAAGCATTGTATGTCGAAATGGCTACGTAACAGTCTTTCGTCGCATCCCAAGCCAATTGCGACCCAGTGGACACGGTCTGTCTCGGTGTTTGCCACTACCAAATTCGGCAATATTTAAATGGGATTGCGTTCGGGAATGTAATTGCTCCAGCAAACACGCTTCCGCGTCGCCAGCCGCTCGGAACGTCGGGATGGATACGGACAGAGGGAATCAGGGATGCGAACGCGTAAACGAAAGGGGACGGAGAGAGTCCTAGGTGGATGGACGGTAACTACGGTGAAGGGGAAACCTGGAAAGATGGGAACATCGAGGAAACTTGGAGGAATAAGGTGTCTTTGGCCCAGTCCTCCGCGTGGACTGTGGTAATTCAGTACGTAACTCAAATTTGGTGGGCCTTGAGAATGGGAATTAAAAAGTTAAGGAGTTGAGGAGCTGGAGATTTAAGAAGCTGAGGAGTTAAGGAGTTAAGGAACTGAGAAGTTAAAGAGTTAAAGAGTTGAGGAGTTAAGGAACTGAGAAATGAAAGAGCTCAGGAGCTATAGAGTTAAGGAGTCAAGGAGCTGAAGAGTTGAAAAGCTAAGGAGTTAAGGAACTGAGAATTTAAAGAGCTCAGAAGCTAAAAAGTTAAGGAACTAAGTAGTTAAAGAGCTCACGAGCTAAAGAATTAAGGAACTGAGAAGTTAAAGAGCTCAGTAGCCAAAGAGTTAAGGAGCTGATGAGTCAAGTAGCTAAGAGGAGCAACAAGAAGAAGAAAGTAAACAATATTCAATCAAAGCTCTCGACGAAAATCCGCTGGAACTGTCTGGCCCATTACAGACCCAATCTCCTTCCACGTCCAATCTTTCTTCTACCCGTACCTATTTTATCAACAATAGCCAAAAAATTAAGAGTCCTTCTAACGCAGCTCCCAGAATTTACCAATAACCCCGAGTCTCAGCTATCAGAACTCCTGACATCCATCGGCAGCTATAATCGTTCTCCACCCGCACACCTGACTCACCAGAGGCATTCCACCTCAGCAAACAAGACCAACGGAAGGATATATATCGTCGACTAGCGAAAAAGAAACGTCGAATCCAACAAGACAATAGCAGGCGAACGAGGGAAAGAAGACACGAATCGCGATGGAAATGGATCCAAACGCGCCGGAGACGTCGAGGAAGGTAGATTGAACGACGCTTGCGCGCGCGGGGATGAAAGAGACCACAAGAGAGGGGTGGGACGAACGGTGGAGAGCGCGGGTGGGCAGAGAGACGGGGAGAGAATTAATTGGGGAAACAAAGATAACCAGGCGGAGGAACAGAGCGAGGATGAATGGGAAACAGAGGGAGGAAACGAGGGGGGAACCACATCGAGCATCGAAACGGTAGGGGAACGGTCTATAACGCAGGCAGACGGAGCCAATCAGGGCGCAATGCGATTACCTTAACGAGAAATCCGATTACTTATTCATTCGCCTAACTCGAAATCAGTTTAACTAATCGTTTAATTCGGTAGTACCCCACCGAGCATTTCGAGGCAGACGCGGCCCGTGTCTCTCTGTGGACGACCGTTGGGTGTGGTGGATCCCCAAACCAGACAGGGCGAGAGCGCGCGCATCCGACCACCGTTTCTACACGTGCTAACCATAGACGTGGGCGAGAGGGAGAGAGACCGTGGCGTAGATACTCGGTGGGGAAACAGCCTGGAGGAGAGAGGCCTCATTCAATTCAATTACGTAATGAATTGTCGTGTCTTGAGTAAACACCCTTCCTCACCGCGACTCGCCGCCGGAAAATCTGGAGTAGGGGGACACCTAGATCCAAACGAGGGGACCTCCCTGCGTAGGAGACGCGTAGCTACAGTTCTCTTCAAGTGGGGTGACCAGAATTATTCGAGTAGACTACTGTCTACACCTTCAAGGCTGTCTACACCTTCAAGGCTGTCTACACCTTTCATATGAAACCTCTTCTAGAATGAGAAACTGACTTTCATGATGAAGATGATGTTCCTTGGACCCTTATGCAAATTTATAACTATGTATAACTACCATGTAGCACTTGGTAATCTCAATTTTAACATGGAATATATACACCTTCAAGGCTGTCTACATCTTCAAGATTGTCTACTTTCATATGAAACCTCTTCTAGAATAAGAAACTGACTTTCATGATGAAGATGATGTTCCTTGGACCCTTATGCAAATTTATAACTATGTATACCATCATGTAGCACCTGGTAATCTCACTTTTAACATGGAATATTTTAATTTTGTTTCTAGGGTCACAAAGGCTGAAAAGTATTCTTAAAGTGGAGGCGGACAGTTGAGCAGTGAGTAGCGGAGCCGACTAGTAGGTCCGCCCAGTTTTTCAAGGCATGGGCTATCATAATACCAAAGTATCGAACAAGTGGTGTAAGACAAAGAATTAATGGACAATGAGATAATATGGCAGAAAAGAGGTGCTTCCTATAAGGAAAAGAGCACAAAAGTGCATTAACTTATGCCGTGAATTCTTAAATTGGTCAACGTTTATTATTATAGTTGGTAGCAAAGAATAACATATATTTATATGTATATAAGGTAATTACAGCATATCCCGGCCGGTCTGCCCAGTGTTTCAAGGTATGGGCTATCATAATACCAAAGTATCGAACAAATGGTGTAAGACAAAGAGTTAATGGACAATGAGATAATATGGCAGAAAAGCGGTTCTTCCTGTAAGGAAAAGTGCATTAAATTATGCAGTGTATTCTTAAATTGGTCGACGACTATATAGTGGGTAGCAAAGAATAACATATACATATACATATAAGGTAATTACAGCATAAATATACCTTCGCAATAACAACATCTATTCTTACTAGAAGCAGGTTTTAGTTATGAGCGAGACTGTATGGGAATCCAGGTGAGCCGAATCAATCTGCATCGGGTCGCAAACGCTTGGAAATCTCTCATTGCGTCTCCTCGAAGCTGACAGCTTATCCCTCGGTGGGAGCACCCTTCTCTCGCTCTCTACGCCTCGCCCTCTGTTTTCCATCGTCGCGTAGGTGTAAGCACACGCTGGTGGATGTGCGCCATATTGACTGCATCGACGTTTCCGGCTTCCTCTCATCTCGTTTGCAGAGCCAGTATCAGTAATTCCGGTATTCTCTCTGAATTAACAGAGCCGGCTCGGTAGGGTTACCGGGGGGTATGTACAGGCACCGGAAACGGTCGACGATCAAAGGACACCCGAATCGGCATTAGCGGTAACTCGAGCAAATCACTCTGTTTTCGAACAGCAATGACGCGATCTCGTCATCCAAATTAATTAGATTTACCTTCGAAACTTCAACTGTAAAGAGAGAACCCCACAGCAACAAATTTAAGTTCATTGATTAATTTTTTTTTTTTAAATATTGGGTACTCGAAAAAGTTCGTGGCGTTTCTCATCATTTGTATGATTTCATTGCATCGTTTTGTGATTAGTCGACTACAGTGTGATGCATCTTTGACGTCAAAATTTTGATGGAGCGTTTCGTCTGTAAAAACCACAAATTTTATTCAGATGCCTGCATTCTCGTCTTTTTCGAGTACCCATTATTTCTTCATGTACAATCAGAGCTAGGCTCGCGTAACTCATGGAAATGCCGACTTCGGATCGCCTAAGTATACATTTTTAGGTCGAAGAATAAATCTCCAGTTGGCACGTGGTACGCGATTATCGAACACGATGACGCGATACCTTCGGCTCTTTCTTGTTTCACTCCTGCCTTTGTAAAAATAAATTTCTAGTGTAACCTCACGGCCAAAAACGAAGGATGATTATTCATCCGCAAAAATAACACCGTCATGACGTCATTTCGGTCAAAATTCCAAATTCCCGGTTTCATTACGTCGAAGGCATGCTCCTCCATCAGCAACCTAAAAGTATACCCCTAAATGTCATTCGTCGGAATAAGAACATAGGTTACGCCAAATAGTCTCATAAACTAGTGATTCTCTATAGGAAAATGGATATAGCATACTCCTAGGAGGACCCTCGTTAGCCCACTCTGTCGTGAAAGAGAACGTCAGGTACTTTTGGTTCTTCAAGCCGAAGAAGACCGTCGAGTATGGAAGTGGGAACTGTGGAGGACCACTTCCAGAGAGCAATCCTGTAGAACCTTGCGAGGGGTGTCCTTCTAAGTGTCTAGCGAAGAAAACAAAGAAGAAGACGACCGATTCGCGAAAGGATTCGTCGAAAAGCGAGGAGAAGCTCGACAACTGCGTGGAAGAGAAACCTGTAAAGGTGAAGTTGACCTGGTGGGAACAAATCTTCGGACCTGACCCAAAGAGATTCTGGCCAGATCCTTGCACCTGTCGCGTGGCTCTCAGACAGAGAAAGAAAGAACGAGCACGGGATCCGAGACTGACGGACCCGAGGTACAAGGAAACAGCTGGTGATGTCTTCATGTACACGGAAAATTTGAAGCCTCGCAGTCGTCCCTGTTTGGAACCACAACCGAAACCACCGCCAGCGTTCAAGGTACCCAAGGCTGTGCTGTTCAGGATGATGGACGAGGGTGGCGAGATGGTGAGGTGTAATTTTGAAGCTTACAGAGACGAAGAAATATCATAGAGAAATATTGTATAGTAGATTTATGAGTTGGACGCCAGTTCGCATGCTAGAGGAAATTGTACTATGTAATATTCGCTTATTATATACATATCTGTGACTTTGTCCTGCAGGGTCCACTTAGTAACGTCGTCATAGAGCAGAAAACGGACGAAAATCATAAGATTTCATCTCACGAGTACAGAATTCCATACGAAGAAATGAGACCACCAGAGAGAAGAACGAGAGTATTTACTTGTCACGAAGGAATTCGATCGGAGGACGTCATCAGACCAGTCAGCGTAGAACTCGACACCTTCAGAGCACCCCTAATTAATCATCAACTCCATATGCAGCAAGGAGTACAAAACAATTGTAATAAACCTGAAAAAATTGAAAAAGCTCCAGTCGTGGGGAACAATATTCCAGAACAAGGTTCTCAAAGACGTTCTAGAATAGAACAGCTCAAACTGCTCATTCAGCAAAAGGAGACCTTGCAATGTATTGCCTTGAACGATTTTGGTGAAAGTAAAGCGACCTGTTAGTGCATAACATCTACATATTTCTAATACAAACTCCTGTAATGTTTCTCAAATTGTTAGTGTATACAGAAAATATAAGTTGTATATCATCTCTGTATAATATAAAAAAATAAATAAATAAATAAGTATACATGTCGAATTCAGTATCCTCCTCCTTTTCGAAGTCGGTTAAAAAACAGACAGAAAAAGACTGAACTAATCCATAGTATCTACAAATAAAAAGACTGAACTAATAAATAGTATCTACAAATAAAAAGACTCTTTAAACTAATCGATAGTATCTACAAATAATAAGTAATTCAAATTTCCCGCGGGAAACTGGTGTCGCTGTCTAGCGGGGGCGTCCCGAACTATTTTCGGAGTATGATCAGCGCCTCTATCGGGAAAACGCTCAAGTTTGTCGTGAAATAGTTCCTATTTTCGACGTTAGATGGCGCCATTGGGATTTTGCTACAAACTTGACCTCTTTCCTCAGAGATGGCGCCACTATTAGCTTATGGCGCCACCTGACGGCGGCAGCAGCGAACTATTTTGCTAAAAGCTTGAGCGTTTGCCCAAGAGATGGCGCCACCAAGCAGATGTGGCACCATCTAGCGGCAGCAGAAGCAAACTATTTTGCTAAAAGCTTGAGCGTTTGCCCAAGAGATGGCGCCACCAAGCAGATGTGGCGCCATCTAGCGGCAGCAGAGGCAAACTATTTTACTACAAACTTAGGCTCTTTCCTGAGAGATGGCGCCACCACTTTGTCATAGTGCCATCTAGCGAGAGTAAAAGTGAACTATTCTGCCACAAACTTGGGCTCTTTTCTTAGAGATGGCGCGACTGTTTCCTGGTTTATGTCTAAGGAAATCTGAAATTTAGTTCGACCTATTGGCCGCGAGATGGCGATACCGTTTTAGGGTCCATGAATGGGCTATTGGGCATCGTATGAATTTGATTATATGACTAATACGTATATTCGTTTTATTTAACATAGTCCTACATTTTTAAACATTTCTTTTTATTCTATTAGAAATGTTTAACTTCGAAAATAAATAAAACCCACGGAGCATTCGATAGAAACAAATATATTGAATAAAACAAAGCTGTATAGGCACTACTATTCATGAACAATTACAGAAAAACTTGTTAATTGTATTTGAAAGTTTATTGTGCATGCTAGTTTATGTGTTATCACTTTGTTAATGTTTGTTTAGACAGTATTAAATTTTCTGTTGACGAAATTATTGGCTATTCTATATTTCCAAGTTACATTTTTACAAATTATACATCTTACAGTTCTTATAGGTATGATAATAACGACGGTAGTGTGATTTATTTTGTATATTTATTTATACAATAATCATTATAATAAATTATATATATATAATATATATTTATATTATGCGTGTGTAGTGATAATATATATTGCATAGAAATAATGTTTGACACGATTTTGGCGAATAGATTGGCTAAATTATGCCCTGTGACTCACACAATTAATTGCAACTGATACTCACCACACTCTTGCTATCTTTTTGATTAAAATCACCACCGAGCCTCTATATTTTAAGTTTGGGCTTTGCTTTCTTCCACACGTAGGTAAGAGTGTGTGCTTTATTAAGAAGTAGCAAACTTTCATTTGAATGTTATCGATAAACAGATATCATAAATCATTAACCTAAAATCAGCAGAGAACATTCTGTCGGAGGACATCGGCGAATATAGGTTAAATCATATATATTTTTTACATGATAAATGATTTTCTCACAGGCAATTTGAATGTTTTACATTTCGAAATTTTCTTACTTAAAATTACGAACAAACATTTTGCTACTTATTAATATACACAACTCTTAGTTCGTCCTAATATTATTATACTTCTTAATAACCTTATCTAGAAGAACGTCTGTCTCACATTTAATTATTTAGTACAATAATCATAAAGTATATAATAAGTAAAACTCTTAAGCCCGTGGCAATAGTTCTATACATATACACTGATTTTTTTTTCCTTTTAGTGAGTTGAAATACCTAAACAACAGTTTTACTTTAACAGACACACAGTCACACTTAGTGTCATTGAGCTGATCTTATTACATCTAATTGGTTTTTCAAACTAACTATTTCATTACATTTATAACATTAACAGAAATATCTGTGAGCAAAGTGAATTTACTATGATATGAGCTATCTGTGTAAAACACAGGCAGCTGTTAAAAAATTCTGTAAACGTGACCAAAAGCACTCTGTCTGCTTGTGTATCGCGTTAGCGACATAAAAGGAGAAATCTATTTTCATGTACAAAAATGAGTTACACGTTTACATGCTCGAACGCCATCCTTTGAACTATTACTGGGTTTGAATATAAGTGTCGGTACTCTTAAATCTATACAATATCAGAAAAAAAGTTTTTACGATGATTCAGGACAGAAATTTCACAATCGCTATAAATACGAGAAAATCCAAAAATTTCCGGGACGTTTTTTTTTGTTTTAATTTTTTGGCACTATGTAATATTTTACGATATACATTAAGACGCATTATAAATAATTTAACAAAGTCACAAAGGATTTTGTAACGTTTCCGATAATTCAATATTGGTTGCTAATGATTTTTAAAATTATATCTATGATACATTCTGAATTTGTGTGTTATATACATGTGATTTCAATAATGTAACAGTATCTAAGTATCTAACCGAAAACTATACTCAAAAGAAGTATATCCTTAAAGAATAAATATCGAAACAATAACAAGTTAAAGATCTTACATGTAGATAAAAATATTCTATATATGTATATATATATTTGTATAAATTTAAACGTAGATGCGACGTGACCCCACATTAGAATGATAAATAGCACTATATTACATGTTACGCATGCAAAACGGAAATAGAACGTTATAAAGTAGGAATTGTGGTATCTTATTTAACTACTTGAGAAAACTGACGCTTGAACGCTTATTTGGCAACAATTGTAGTTCACCTAGACATTTCTCCCTTTATGTCTCGGAGCCAAATCTAAATGTTGCGTATAATATAGTTGAATGGCGAGATGCGTAAAATTTATAAAGAAATAGGCACAGTACAAAAACAAAAAAGTAAACATAATCACAGCTGAGTTGGCAGGCAGGTGGGCAAACGCAGGTGTACCGGACAAGGCTCGACGTTGATGTGCTCCATCGCTTTTTACATGATTTTTGTTACTTGGTCGATATTATTTCAATAGCCTGCTAAGCCCGTTTCATTGACAGATTGACTCTTAAACGTAATCATTTGTTCCAGGACTCGTTAAAGGTTCCTGAGCCTACGGTAATTAAAGTACCGAGATTAAAGTATTAAACAATGTATTGAAATTATATGAAATTATTGGGTTGTCCGGAAAGTTCATGCCTATTTTTAAGAAAAATTCAAAGGCATATTTGAATTTTGATGTATATTTGAGCCGTTTATTTTGAAAGTGGCCTAACTCCATTCTTAATAAGAAAACACATATTATTCACTTAACAATTGCCACTATTTTAATAGGAACTATAAATTTAACACCCTTAGATACACTCAAGCAGTATGACTCATTAGTATCCTATACGTATATTTTTAAATTCATTGAAACGCAAACCCTTAAATATCTCGATTTGAAGATAAATGGAGTTAGACCATTTTCAAAATAAACAGCTCATTTATTGAATTATATATGTACCATTTTGTTCCACACCTTTCCACCTCTTAAAGAATGTACACATTTTATTTGTTTTCAGCCATTCCGATACATTCAGACCTGTATCGCCTACTAAAAATCGGCATGGACTTTCCAGACAGCCCAATATATGAAACATTATATAAAACTCTGTAAATAAGAAGCACAATTTTATTTATTAGAAGCTGCTGCAAATAGAGCAATTACCTCTTCTCCAACTGTAGCAGTGGGGAGTGGAAACCTATTTTTCTCCAGACTGAACTGATCTTCCGTGGTTTTCCTATACACAGGATTATCGAAATTCATACTCGTGACGTTACGATGAAGATAATGCCTGTAACATAATACTGCTCCTAATGCAAGGAGTAACAGCCCTAAGGATGCCACGCCTATCACTATACCAGCTACTAAACCAGCATCCGCCGACTCGGTCGTGAGACTATCTTTTCCATCCCCATCTGTGGAGTGTGATGGGTCTAAACAAAAAAATACCGTTTCGTAAGACAAAATAAACGATTATGCATGCAGAGTCCAAACAGAGTTCAAACACAATGCGAGTAACCTTCAATATTTCTGAAAATATGAAACGCACAAAAGTATTAGGTCGTCCCATAAGTTCGTGCCGAAGACTGTGTCGAAATATAATAAAAAACCACAGAAATTTTCTAGTAACGGTAAGTTCGTGCACGGTATAATGACTATGTGGGAGAGCTGAGAAATTATTGTGAAATGAGACAGATGATCTTTCCTTGTGACACTTAAGAGTATGTTTCACATATTAATTTGAGAAATAGAAGTATAAATGGCACGAACTTTTAGGACGACCTAATAGAACTCTTGCATGTCGTGATCTGGTTATTTATGTTACGTGACCTATATTATTGCCATTGCAAACGTATGTACATATATATGCACTGATTAATTTTTTAATATTCGCATGAGCCACAGGAAGCATAACAATAGAATATTTAAAAAAATATTGATGACATTAAAAAATGTTGTTAGCTAAAGTTGAAGTGTTTTAGAGGTCCTGGAAAAGGTTGGTGATCTTGAAATATTCTTGATGCCTCTATGTAAGTCGAAACATGCCTTAAAACATTTCAGCTTGGTCTAATAATAACTCGTCTTGATATCGTTTGAAAATATTCAGATTTCGCGTTTGATGTGCCCACGCTGCGTATGTACAAGTCAAAGCCAAACGTTTACGACCCATAAATAAACGGAACATATGTAACTGTAATAATAATCGTGCAAATAAACTTACTGATAGTCGTGGTAGTAACGTTGACGGTTTCAAGTCTCTTGAACGGTTTACTAATTTCTTGCGTTGTGGGTGCTACTGTTGTAGTTACTGGAATATCCCATATTCATGCAACAACGATGCGAAATAATATAATAAATAAGAAAGGTCGTAAACATAACACATTGTAGCAATGTGTGTTACATAGATAACGTTCGATGCAAACTAGTAACGAAACAAGAAATATGAAACGGAAATCAAATTCGAAGTAAAATCTTAAACATGCCTCGTTTTACATTTCTCACGAACGTATACCGTAAGCATTAATTTTTATTGTAAAGTCATGCAGTATCGCGTTCGTTTTCACGTCATTCCTTCGATTACCGTCAAGACGTGCATAGTAAACCAATGCATGTGACTCATTTAAAAATACTAAATACTAATGCT